AAGAAAAGATTCACAGGTCTTACAAAAGATAATTCCATTTAATTCATCTTCATTAGTTTAGTTCATCACAAATATCCCTTTACTGAGATTCGTTAGGAGCTTGAGAAGAGCTCTGCTTTAGTTAAATATTTGTATACAGTGCTCAGATCAATTCAAATGCACTCCTCACATTGCTTGGCAACGATTCAAATACGGTTTTTTGCAGTGTAGCCACACCATAACAAATACAAAGCAAAATCAAACAGATGTACAAGGAGCAGCCACAACCTTTGGCCAGGCGCTTAATGGCGCTGTAATCAAAAGTCATTATGTCGAGCATTGGCATCAAGGACAAACGCACATCGGACTTTGGTTAGGTAGTTAGGGTGCTCTGTTAGCTTCGACTCCTCATCCTGCTGGTGCTGCTGCTGCTCTAGGACTTACTGCTGGTCGTGCTGCCGCCACTAGCTGGGAATCAGCTTGCCAACCATTTGCTCACAAAGGAAAATTACGCGTATTATAGCCAGCCAACGGCAGGGGTGATGGACGGTGGATAGGGGCGGGGTGGCGTAGGGAGGTTCATGTCTCAGACCAGCCCTCGTTTTCTTATTAATTTGTTTGTCAAAGCAGAAAGCAAGCAGGAAACACAAAATCCGCCACATCATGGCCACCACTGTCATGGCCATGTTAAAAGGGAACACACACACGCACACTCCTCACCCTTCGCCCTCCACCTCCTAATACGGAAAGGGCGCGACAGAGAGCAACAGTTTTGGCCTGGGGTCTGTCTGAAATCTAGTCGCCCTCCGCACCACCTTGTGTATGTGTGTGTGTGTGTCTGGCCAGGATAATGCGGCGGCTATTAAGCGACGAACGTTGGCGACTAAAACGCGGATTAGAGGCAACTGCACGCACATCATGAGGTTGCAAATTGAATAGACAACAGAAATAGGAATTTTTGTGGCAAGGGAAGTGGCACATATGCGTAGATCCTTGAGTGGCATGCAAGGACACGTGCTGCACAAAAGTGTTTTGGGAAGGCAAGCGAAATGTAAAATGCAGGCCAAGGAATTTCAAAAGAGGCTTGCACTCGACAATTTTTAAAAGTGAATCATCTTGTATATCTCGTTCAAACTTAAAAACAAGAATAGAAATATGAAAGTTTATTCATCATTATAATATGTATTGAATTTAGAATCTGTCTCACAACAGTTCAAGTACTATTTACCTAGAAAAATATATTAAACTATATGTATATATATCATAGTTTAGTTTCATCTGAATTTGCTGACGCATTTGTTTTATTGTTAAAAAGGGAAAATACAAATAGCTTTCATTATAATCATTAATTCAGCATTGCTTTCCAGTCAAATGTTGGTTTCTAGGAAATTAGGAAGTTAGGCAGAAATCTATACTCACCAGCTTATTCACTTCCAACGACTAATTGCACATCAATTAGCAAATATCAAATATTGATTAATATCGACAGAAACGGAAACAGGTATGGGAATACCCATCTGAAAAGCAGGAAGAGGGATCCCCGAGTGGGTGGGGTACATATAAACATAACTGTGTGCGTAAACTTTCTAGACAATCGTAGGATCTTCGTCATAGTAACAACAATAGCATATTATTAAGTGAACTGTGCTTGTTATTCTTTCATTTAGTGGATTGTTTAGTTGAGTTCAGATCAGTTGAGTAAGAGAGTGCGGCGCGTGTTTTGTTTGTTTACCTTGGCCCCGCCGGTGGGAAATCAGCTCGTGCAATCGCCCAAAAATAGACACTTATGCTCAATATAGTGTTGCGAAAATTTCGAGATGCAAATAATTGGAAAACCACAGAGGGCAGCACTCACTTCCTCCTCCAGCACTGATGATGCTCTGGCTGTGACGTCACGTGAGGCAGTCGTCATTTAAATTTGGCTGACTGCATCATCAATTGATTGTTGATCTAATCGTGACGTGGATCCTTTTCAATATGTTCAGCTCCATACCTCGTGTGTTGATTATGTAGCTGCGGGTGGTCGATTGTTTTTTTTATTCCAAGTGCAAGGTGCTGATAGAAGGGGGAAAAAGGAGGGCACTGTTTGATTGACTTGGCAACTTTATTGTTTTTCGTCAGCCTGCTTATTTATTCAATTGAATGTATGCTTGTATGCAGACTTTAGCATGAATTGCGCCTTGTTTTTTTAAAGCCGCCTACGCGCGAATAGCAAACTAGTCCAAACTGATAAACTGAGCAAATAGACAAATTGCAAAATTAATTTCCTCCCCTTCAGCCCAATTAAATTTAAATCAATGTCTGCCTGATGCGTGGCTATCAATAAGTTAAAAGGTAACTCGGCCGTTTGTAGTTTAGCTGAATTTAAAATTATCTGGAAATAAAAACTTAAATCGAGATCCAACGTGGATGATTTTAACACTTATTTTTACACTTATGTGGCACAGGTGTTGAAGTGATGGCTCAACGCTCACCTCTGACCCATCGCCCATCATCGTGTGGAGATTTTGTATGTTTTTATTTTGAATTTCATCGACGCTGGGCAAAAACAACAATCTGTTGAAACATGTATGTATTTGATTATTATTGTTATGTAAATGTTCGAGAATTATGTTTAATCAACCAATCTCACATAAGCAACTAAAACAATGAAAAAACGCGGTTTTCCATCTCTCTCTCGCACTCTCTCTCTCTCTCTCTCTCTCGCTCTCTCTCTCTCACTGAACGACAGTTGAAAATTTCAACAGATTCATAAAATTTTACGTATAGGCATCTCTGCGTCCGTCCGTCCGTCCGTCCGCCCATCTGTCCGTCCGTCTATACGCCCGTTGTTTGTTTTTATAAACCTATTATTCAATATGTACTTTTGAATTATGAAGTTTTGGCATTTCTGTGACGCAAAGTAGTAAATTCGCTACAAGTGCGAATAAACGAATCCATATGCAACAGCAACAGCAGCACCAGCAGCAAACACTAGATGGGCATTGATGAGGGCGGGCCCCATCAGCTGACTGGACGTTATATGTGTGGGGCGGAGGGACACAGATAGGGAGGCGCTAATCAATTCCTATGGCGAAAACACAAATCAATGGAATTTCGGCAAACAAAGTTTCAGCACCTTTGGTTATTATTATTTAAATAGAACAAATAGCGCTAGTTTTTGCACGCCAATCGTTTCAGAATCCACAGGATATCTATACATATATAAGTAGCCTCAATGCATATAAATCAATCAACCATGAAGTAAAACGTGCAAAAACAAGAAAATAGCACTATCTATATCTTTATTTAAGTGATAAGTGATATATTAGATATGTTAATTAGATATGTAAAAATCGATTTTAGATTCGTAATTAACTTTTGATTAACCATTGAATAAGCTCAAAGTTACTTAAATTTTAGTTCAGCAATAAACAATCGGATATATTAGAAAATAGAAAAAATGATGAACAGTGGATTGAACTTATCTGGAACGTTTTTTTAACTTTTGTTATTTTACAGGACAGGTCAGATTCTGCTAGGGTGCCTTTGTCTCCTCTTGATTTTTATGGGTGCAAAGAATGATGAATGCAAATGTTTAGCATAACATAAACTATCTACGAATACTATTTCCTAGTTTCCGAGTATATAAGGATTTTGTAATTTTAACCCGCCCACGCCCAGGGAATGAAATTTCGCCTCTAAAAGTATGCAACCATTATTCGCATGAGAGAAAGTTATCTAATGCAGCAACCTCAACCTTTATTACTGGTGCATGTACATGCTTTCCAAAGCAGCAAACTAAAATAATACAAATATTTCAGACACAATACAATTAGTTCCGATTTATCGTATTATTAAGATCAAACCCCCCTCGTCAGACATCCGTTCAACTTTAAATAATTAGTGGTCACCCACCACTAATACAACAACCACCCTCTGCTGCTACACATATACGAACAAACACAACAACAGAACTGGGGGGTGTAAACAACATACAACAATACACCCTCATCATCTGCCTACTTAAATAATTATAACAAGTAGCCACAAACAAATTATTAAACAGTAGTGCGTATAAGCGCTAGCTAAGCTCAATACATATTATGGTAATTGACAAGAAAGTAGTAATCAAAAACCATTTGGATAATTCATAAATGTATATAAGAAATTGCCGACCCCCTTTGACGGCATGGATTGAACTCTGGGCTAGCTAACCTACAAAATTCGAGTTCCGGCTGTCATGGCTCTGAACTAGTCAGCCTCTTAATCGAACGACAACTAAGCCCAACTATGTCGAATGCCATCTAGCGATGGTTAACTACAATTGCTTGCTCCATTTCTCTTAGAATGTCAAGCGACATCTAGTGTTCATAAACATGCATAAAACCATTGCATACTTTTGGGCGGGTATGTCCATATTAGCGACATCTAGCTTTCGTTTTCAGTGAGAACCAGCTACAATTTAGATCAATGACGCCGCATTTTCAAGTACTCTTCTCATTTGTCGTACAATTTGTGGGAGCGCACTCCCCACGAACCTTTATCTGATTATCTTATCGGATCAGCGAATGTTTGTTTATATGCCAAAACACTCGAAAGCTCAAAAAAAACAAATTGCAAGATCCAAAAATAAGTAGCCCACTTGACAAAAGTGCCATAGTCCAATAAATGTACATTTGTATATACATCCCCCATAAATTTTTTTCTTATAATAGACAAGCAAAGTACTCCATCATACATGAAATGTGATTGAACGTCACCAGTCTTAATCAAGAAAACAACAGTTTGATAGGGAAGGATACATTTAATGTAAAAGATATAAATACCCTTCTACAGGGCTATATAAATTCGTTAGATTGTTATCAATTCAAATTCAGACAGAAATAGTGTGCTCATCTCTCTCTTTTGAGAGAGAGAGAGCAGGAGCGGCAAGCTCAGAACATTGGTGTCTCTCCACTCTCCAGCCAAGCGCTGCTTCTTCGCAGCGAAGAGAGCGGCACATGTGGCGCATTTTAAGTAGACACGCAGCGTTGAATTGGAGCTCAGTTCGTCGCAGCTCGCAAAGCAATCGCAACGTACTTGTGGCGCTGGGGATTTAGGTTCGGTACACTTCGGTTTGGGCGGTTTGTTTATCGTTCAACACAAAATACTTATTCTACTACAAACAAGCATTGGAAGCCAAATTGGCGCCGTATTTGGTTTCGGTTTCAAGTGTCTGCAGTTGTTGCTTTGTATAATTATTGTTATTACACGATCGGTTGAGGGTCGCCTGTGTGTTAAATAATAAACGATAAAATAATTACGCTCGAGATATGCAACAGCAACAATAACAATAACAATAGCTACGCAAGCGTAGAAAGTTTATATTATTATTATTTTGAAAGCCAACAAAACACAAAATTCAAAGCCAAAAACCGAAGCATCATCAAATTTTTTGCGTGTGAAACCGAAAAAAGAGCGACGAAAAAAAAGAAACCCAACTGGTAGAGTTGTGTGCGTGCCGGAGTGTATGTGTATGTGTGTGTGCATTATAACAATTTTGGTGAAATAAATAAAAATATAAATAATGTCTGGTCCAATGCCCGAAATCAGCGTTGAGCAGCGCAAAACATTGGAACAGGTAAGAGAGATAACATTTTTGAGAAAAGCTGCTCTTCCACAACACGCTCTCTCGCTCCCACACACACTCTCTCTCTCTCTAATGGAGAAGATATTCAGGCGATCTGTGGTCTAACACCTAACAATATATTTGGAAATATCTTAATTTTATAGAACTGACAATATTGACTACTAAGCGCAAACTGCAATTAACTGATATTTGCGATAATGTTGCGTGACTAACCACACGTTATACTACAAGCATTGGTTTCTTTGGCCTTGTGATTAAAAACAAAGACAAAGGCAAAAAAATATAAATAAAAAAAACACAAATGATTAATTGCGCATTTAAATATGTTCAAAAGTTGTGTAAACATGAGGAGATCGATGGAGTGTGTCACATGGAAACGAGATTGCGTTAAATTGTAGATTTTTATATTTTGCATGCATGCATCTGTCACACTGTGCCGCCGGGCAACAGGCCATAACGAATAGTAAATAGCAACTTGTTCTGGCCATTGCTCTTTGCCCAGCTGTGTTTGTTATTCTTGGCTCGCTTGGCCAGCAAATTGTCTAGGCCAGCAAATCTGCATAGCGTTTAGACGCCAGCCAACGGCACGCCCACATTCGAAAAAGCGCAGTGGCCAACGACCGACAAACTTGGCCAAAATAACACACAGCTGAAAACGAAACGAAAACGAAACCGAACCGGTTAAAATTATTGCCACCGGTTGCTTTTGGCCTGCATTCTGGGCAGATGCTTTAAGTTGACGTCTGCCCCCTCAACCCACTGTGCCATTAACTTAATTAACTTACTGCGCAAAAGTGAATTGTAAAAGTGATCTGTTAACCCAGCCTCAACAACAACTGAGGAAGATGTTGTTCACAATAAGATGAATAATAATATGAATATATTCCCATAAATGTAAATGGCTCTTATAATGCACTTAGAAATGTTAATGAGTTTTACTGGCTTGCACTTAACAACTGGTTTCTTGTCACGAAAACAAATACGTAGAAGATTTTTTTTATATAAGAAGCTAACAAGTAGCTGCCTGAAGTGTATGAAAGCATTTACAATGAGTTTGAACTTTCCTACTTAAGCTTTTGTAACGGCATTATCTCATAAAATCTATCTGAAGGAAATCAGTTGAGTTTTTACACCTTAATGAGAGTTTGAAGTGTATGAATTTTAACTTTTCATATTAAAACTTGCACTTCGCATGTTTTTAGCATCAAAATATTAGCAATCAACACACTGCTAAATGCATTATAATACTTTCTTAGCCTGGTATATTAACAACTCTTTATATAGTTTTTGGCTGCAGGCAATTTACAAACTTGGTCAAGTCGAATTGAAAACAAAGAACAAAGCAAACTAGGCAATAGGCAGCTACGCGTTAGTTATGAGGAAGTTAATCAAAAAACGTTCAGCGCCAACGAAAACCAACAAAAAATCTCACTTCAAACCGTTGACAAAGCCAACTAAATGACCACGTTTTCAAAATAAATCGACTTGGCCTGTGGTTCAGGCCAAAAGCAAATCAAAAAACTTGGCAGTTGACCTCGTTATTAAATTTCAAGTGCCTAACTAACTGGGCTTAGCCAAATATAGTAGGGCCAAGCATTTTTGGTAGACAATAAACAGTCAATACACCTTAAGCTTAATTTATTTTTTTCTATTTACACTTAAATATGTCAGTTGTATTATATCAATATTAATACTAATACTATTCTAGTACTTTAGTATTTGTAATTAACAATCTGATTAATAAGCAAATATTAAATGCTATTTATTGTATAGTTTTGATTGAGTGCAATTAAACTCCCCTTTCCGCTACTAAGTTGATTGCTCTTGAATCTAATAACAATTTGCCGACTCATGGTTTTTGTGACAAGAAAAAAAACCTTCAATGCGAAAACTGGATAACATTCGATAATTAAAAGTTTTGCACTAAATGTTACACGACTTTAAGTTGCCCTCTAAAATAGATTTGGATTTTGATTGACAATAATTTAAATGTGTGACAAACATGTTTTCCTAATTAAAACTATACCCTATAGAAAATGTCTGTCCTAATCTACTTTTAATAAACTCCCGACACAATAAGGTACAGGGTATTTAAATTGGCATTGATTCAAGTGAAAATTAACAGCTTGTAAGGCAAACAACTTTTAGACCACCAGCAACATGAAGTTAAGACCACAATTTCCGATAGAGAACGAACCACAGCCGAGCTAGCTGGTGATTATCAGTTCAGACAAAAAGAATGTTTATGGGCCGATTAGAGACTGATTAAATATAGAATCAATCCAAGGTCAGACGAGTTTCAATTAACCTTTTCAATTGCATTTTGCAGTTCCGCGAACTGATGAGTGATGAACTCAAGGATACGCATGATGATTACTTTCTGCTACGCTGGCTACGAGGTAAGTCAAATGTGATGGAAAGTGTTGCATAGAACTAAAAGACAAACAATTAACTTACTCTGATCTCTATTTCCCAGCTCGCAAATGGAACATTGAAGCGGCGGAAAAAATGCTTAAAGCGGTAAGTGAAAATCGTCTATCAGTGCCTCATCAATTTACCAATCTCAACTCTCAATCCAAACAGAGTCTCAAGACACGCGCCATGTGGAACGTGGACAACATTGAGAAGTGGGATGCGCCGCAAGCACTGCGCGAGTATCTGCCCTATGGCATAATGGGTTATGACAATGAGGGTTCACCAGGTGAGTGACATATAAATTACATTGATATTCGCCTCATTTACTCATTTACTCAACTCTCTTTGTCTCATTCTCTGCAGTGATTGTGTGCCCCTTTCACACCTTTGACATGTGGGGCATGCTGCATTGCGTGACACGTTTCGAGTTCCAAAAGTATTTGGTGCTGATACTGGAGCGTCTAACGAAGCTCGCCTATGAGCAGAGCCTGAAGCATGGCTGGAAGGCACGCCAGCTAGTCGTCTTCTTTGACTGTGAATCGATGAACCTGAAACAGTTCGCCTGGCGGCCAGCGGCCGAGTGCGTCATCTCATCGGTGAAGGAGTATGAGGGAAACTTTCCGGAGCTGCTCAAGAGGTGTTACATTATCAATGCGCCCAAGCTGTTCTCCGTCGCATTTAACATAGTCAAGAAGTTCCTGGACGAGAACACCACCAGCAAGATACACATCTACAAGACTGGATCGGACAAGTGGCAGCAGCAGCTCTTCGCTCACGTCGATCCGAAGAACTTTCCCAAATGCTGGGGCGGCCAGCTGGTGGACGAGCACGGAGATCCCCAGTGCAGATCCATGATGGTGTGGGGCGGCAAGGTGCCCGAGTCGCTATTCGTCGACCAGAGCAACCAAGAGAGCGACAAGGACTTCACCGAAACCCATGTACCCAAGGGCGATAAACTGAAGATCGACTTCAAGGTGAATGGTCAGGCGGAGCAGCTGCTGTCATGGAATTTCCGCACACTTGACCACGACATCAAGTTCGGTATTTACAGCGTGGATGCAAAGACGGGCGAGAAACGCAGTGAAATCCCCCTCGGCACTGTCCACTCCCACGAAATGGACGAGGTTGGCTGCATCTCCACGCGGCCCAACACGACGTGTGAGTAGACTTAACAATCCATACACAGCACCCCATTCTTATCAGTTCATCCACATACACAGACACCGTTGTATTTGATAACTCGGCAAGCTATTTGCGCAGCAAGCGGCTGCGCTACTGGGTCGATCTCATGTCCGGCGAGGAGGAGGAGGGCATCACTGAGCTGACCAACCAAATGGAGAGCACACAAATTGTGGCACAGCAGTGATATATTGCAGCAACAGCAGCAACTCAGCCAAAAACTCAGCAAGCACATTGAAGAGTATACCAATTCGGCACAGCCGAATCTTTTATACCATTGCCCGAAGATTGTGATAACAGTTATCGTCTATTTAATAGAAACAAGTTTCCACTTATCTCTAAATACCTGAAATTATCTGGCATTATTTGGCTTTGTCCGGGATCAGCTTATCTTTGAATTGAACTTAATTATCCGAGCTGAGAGAAAATATTACCAAATTAATTTTCATATAGATCCTTGATCTAAGTCTATCACATAGTTTCCACGTCCGGCTGTGGTAGTTTTTAAACGTTTTTGGAAATTACTGATAATGCAGCTTTCCTCTTTTCCTCAATAAATCAGATAATAGATTATACTCTCCAGATCTTCAGCAAGGGTATATGCTATAACAAACAACCACTTGTACTAACCTCGGTGAAAGTAGCCACAAATTCGCACGACAGTTGGCAGCAGGCAACTGGCGTTGCTAGAGACCTATGTGATAACAGCAAACAATCAATAAAACTAATAATAAATAAGAAAGAGCACTTTACGCTTAGAGTAGTTAAGTTAGTAAGTGCTTTATTGCGTGTAATTACTGAGTGCACTTTTGTGTACAGTAATATATTGTTCTTTATTGTAATCGTTATTTGTAGTCAGGATTTTGTTTGTATAACGTGATCCTGATAATGATCTTGATCTTGATCTTGACTTGCATCACATGCGCAAGACGCATGCTGAATGTACAATTAATTTTGTCTGGTATTTAACAAATAAATAAAATGGATGATGATTGGGAATCCCGTATGTGTTTTTGGTCGCAATTGCGCCAGGATGCCGCCTCACGGCTGTACCGAGGAGGCGCGGCGCTTGCGCCTTCATCACTGCGGAACACTGAGATTTGGCCCGAGCTGTGGACCATGTCCACCCACCTGCGGCTGTAGCTGCTGCATGGGCATCATTGCATTCGGACTGGCGCCCACAACGCCGACACCGACACCAACACCAACGCCGACACCCACGCCCACACCCACTGGGGGACCAATAGACTGATTGGGTGGCGGTGGCGGCAAATCCGTTGTCGGCTGCAGATTGGTCAGCAGTTCAGTGATGGCCGGGAAGAGCGAGCACTGATTCTGCTGTACTCCAAAGTCGGCAAAGCGACGAAGCAATGTGCTCGCCGCTGTCATAATCGGTGATTGGACCTGTTCCCGCTTCTCGGCCACTTGCGTCAGATTGGTGGCAATGTCATGGACAATGGGTAGCACCAGCGAGTCCTTGCCATTGTACGGTATGCGTGTGATGTGCAAAAAGAACAAGATTTTCATGCGGCCGAGCACCACACAAGCATTGCCAATGGGCACAATTGGCATGGCCGATGGCGGCACCCGCATGCACATCTGCACAGTCCACTTGAGCTGATCGCCGCCCAGCTCGGGCTTCAGCTCCAGTCGCATGATCTGCACGAAATCCTTGAGCACATGACCGGGCAGATTCAACAGCCGGCAGATGCTGTGCAGCGCATTGGGACGATAGGGCGGGGCAGCGACCCGGGTGTCAAAGTACTGCTCGATCACGAGTAGATCGTCGAGGATCAGCGGGAAGGTGTTCTTATCAGGCGTTGGAGGCAGTTGGGTGACCTTCAGATGCAGGGATTGCATGTGCATCTGATTGAGCATCACCTGGCACTGCAGGCCATCCACCTTGAAGAGCACCACACCCGGCTCCGTTGAATTGAGTGCCGTCAGTGTCTCTTCGCTCTGGATGTTGCGATGCAGCTGGCGACGCATGTAGACACAGCCCAGGAAACGCTCCAGTGGACTCATATCGGCCACATTGATGTCTTTGTTGGGATGTGGACTGGGACGGCAGAGGGTCTCCAATGCCTCATGCGTCAGTAGCGTTGGCACAGCGCCAGCCCAGGGCCGATTGAGGGTGCCACGAGTGACGCTTCGATCAGCCGCTCCACCCACACCCGCATTGGCGCCACCTGTGCTTCTGTGTTCGGGACTCTGGCCAGGACGGGGCGAGGGACGCGGCATGCTCGGCGATCCCGGCCAGTTATTATTCGCCGGCGACATGGCTGTGAACGGCGAATCCTGATGGCTTTGCATGTACAGCGTATTGGGTCCCGGACTGTGCACCATGTGCGGACTAGGCAGTGGATTTAACGGCGATGAGGGCATCAATCCACCGGGTGACGGATGAGGCATATGCGGGGCTGGTGGCGATGTCAAGTTAAAGTTGGCATGACTCTGTGCACCACCTCCGGCGCCACCGCCACCAGCGCTCGGATGTGGACTTGCCGGTGTGTGCGGATTTGAGCTCGATGGCGGCGTATGCGGTGCAGGAAACCGTAATCCACTATCTCGCGGCGACTGTGGACCACGCATGCCAGCGCTCAAAAATGGTGATGACCCGCCTGCACTAACGCCCGTCACACTGCTCGGACCGCCAAAGTTATCCTCGAGGCCCATGGGCGACAGCGGATTGTCGTCCTCATGCGGTGCACGTCCTCGGTACACAGCCGACTCATCCGCATACTTGGACAGGAATGCCTTCAGACCCTGTATGGGCGTAAACTCCTCGATGACATTGCGATCAAAACGACTGCTGGCACCATCGCGTATAGAAACAAGGCGATTGGCACGGAAACGTAGCTCCAGACAGTAAACCGCCTGGTAGGCCAACCGCATCAAGCATGGCGACTGTGGCAGCATACAGAATGACAACACGGGCACTTGAGTGCGCTACAAATGTGAATAGATGTTAATTATGTCATGTCATATATTCAAATAATATCTGTCTTATCTACTTACCGGTATGCCCAGCAAGGGGATCACAGGCAGCTTGGCAATGGAGCTCATGGGATTGTATGTCTCGTGCAGTATGTGAGCGATCGTCGTGAGGCTGTGTTGCTGATTGAGATGCTGGGCGAGCTGATCCCGCATCATGGAGTGCGCATTCACCGCCGAGATGCCGCCCACAAAGGTCAGCCGAAATCCATGCGACTGCACCGACCAGTATATGCTGCAGGTGACCTCTTTTTTGGGTCCATATCCCAGCAGCAGATTCACATAATTGAAGGACTTGACAACCAGCATATCGCCCAGAGTAAGACGCTCTGTGAATATATTATGTGAAACAGTTTATAAAATACAAGAATATACCACTTACTGTTGCCTAACTGCTCGGCAAAGTCGTGAACTAGCGTATAGAGATAGACAATCTTGGACCAGTCGTTAAGCAGATCCTCGACTGTCTTGGAGAAGTCATGATTGGCCTGCTCGTAGGTCAGATAGACGGTGCGACGGCTACCCTGCTCCTTTTGGTGTGTACTCTGCAGCGGGGTGCTGTAGAACACAAACTCCACCACCCAGATGCGCACCTGGCTGTTCTTGTTGGTCTGCGATCGCACAGATATGGACAATACGCGTCGCATTAGATCATCCCACACATGTGACTCAATCTTGGGCAGCGCTGTCGATGAGTTTGGTGCCGTTGCTGGAGTTGGCTTGCCCGGCTCACCAGTTGCAGCTGCTGCTGCTGTTGCTGCTGGCTGACTGGAGCCCGGTTTGGGCAGTGCCAGAATCTTTAGGACGAGCGAAGTGGCGTTCGCCTCTACTTGCAGGCCGCTATGCGGTATGCGATGCTTGGAAAGCGCTTGCGCCAGATTGAGGAACGGTATCTTCTCATCGCACATGGCCACAACGTGTGCCAATTCTGGTATAAAGTATGCTGGAAAAATGGTCTTTTGTTGCTTGGCGGGCGGTGCTAGAATATCGCCATTTGATTTGCGCTTATGTGGCGATACCTCTGCTAGAAGCGGAAATCAAGTGATTAATTTTTTGGTAAATAGTAAATGCCTACAACGAACTTACCATCGACCTCAGTGCCGGGTCCGTGGGTGGCCACAAATGTGTCAAACTCAATGAGACGCATCAGCTTTGTGTAGAATTTGGGTATATCTGATGGCGTTTGCGCCACAATGGACACCAGCTGCTTGGCCGAGTCATCCACAACATCGTTCTCATCCTTTTGATAGACCACAAAGCCCAAGTGGAACGTATACTCCATCTCGTTGGGCATTGCGGACTTCTCCTTTAGCTGAACCACCTAAGAATTAAAATATATTACCAGAGCTGCTCAAAAATATTCGTTATGTACTTTGCTGCTTACCAGTATAATGTTTGGATGCCGATGCAGCTTCACATAGATCTTGTGACGACCTGCCTGCAACAGTTCCTGTTCGGGCAGCATGAGGAAGGGCAGCGTCTCGGTGGCCGTCGCAGGCAGATGCTGGAGCGTTTTCTCGCAGCGACGGTGGGTGATCCAGTAGCGTAGCTCCGATAGCAACATTGGCAGCTTGCTGCGATCGCCATTTAAACAGTCCTGCATCTCATCCGTAATGGGGCAATCCAGATGCTTTGGCACATGGCAGCGGAACATGCCCGTGTGTGTATCAATGGTTATGTGGATCTGCTCTGCACGCAAGCAGGGTGAAAGCACGGGCACAGTGAGAATAGCCGGAGTGCCTTGCAGATTAACTGAAAGAAGGCATCACAATCAGTAACTTTAACAAATAATAACGAAATTAAATAGATCCAAACTGGAAAATGTAGGACTTAATGTCTTTTCCCGTCGCGGACAACATTTACACTCACAGTCAACGTCCTTGAGGAAGGCCTGGAACTCAAGCTTAAGGTCACTCAATCGGGACACGGATCGTATGTAGACGGTGTGCACAATCAGACGTTCCATGGACAGATGCTCAGAGCGCACAGCACGATCAGCCACCTCGGCGGACTCCTTGGCACCCAGCGAGGGAACATGAACAACAGCCAGAGGACGACCGATTTCACTAGGATCCGATTGAACGGTGAGCCGATAGCCCAGCTCTGACTTAAGATCACGCCAGTAAGAAACGGTTAGCTTGACGCCCGGCACATACTCCTCCACATTCACATTGTTATCGTCTAGACGCTCGTAGTTAAGGCGCAATGTCTGTGTGTAGAGCACCTCCAATTGCAACGACTGGCAGAAATAGTGCAGACAATTGTAGACCTCGCTCAAGGCATTGGGATTCTCGACGAGACGCGCCTGAATCAGTTGGTGTATATAGTTGACCTGCAGCGGATGCACCAACGACTTGCCATCTACGGACAAATAAAGTACATTAAGATTAACGTTTAGTTGGTAAGAGTGCATTTATATATGTAGTTACCGCCCGTCTCCTTGTCCTCAACGAGAACATCAATGTCCAGAAGGCGCCAGGGCACAGTCGGACTGTCGCCCATGACGGTGAGGGCCACGCTGAACTCGTGCTTCACCTCGAATGTGACGCGTCCGTTGCGTATGCGAAACTCTCGCATTTGCGGCAGCAATTTACCCGTGACCAGCCGATGCTGTATGACCTGGTTGAGACGCAAGAGGGTTTGCTTCTTTTCCGCCGGTGTAATGGCATCCGGCGGCACTATCCGTTCGCGTATACACGTCGGCAGCCGGTTGTAGGTGCCCGTGGTGAGAACCTCAACGGCAGCCGGTATGTGAAAGTTGGGCAGGCGAGCTCGCACCAACGTCTCACGCGACATGCGCGCCAGCATATCGGCCGTCTCCACAAACAGCATGTTTTGCTTGTCCAAGAAGCTCATTATCTGGGAGCTCTTGTCCACCTTGGACACTGAATTGCCCCACTTGACCAAAGCGTTGAGCCGCGTAAAGAGATGACGCGTGCGTGCCGCATACGCATAGATTTCCACCTTACGCTCCATATCCGTCTTGCGTGGCAATCTGTGGATCAGAATTTATAGCCTGCTATAGTCTACAGTCTCCGAATCTAGTTGAATTCGTTTTACTTACAGTTCGGCGAGAACCATTAGCTCGTGGTAGGTGCGCTGGATAATGAAATCGATCAGCACCGACATGGACATGGTGTTGATGCGCGGTCCTCCCTCCTGCCCGGCTGGCAAATAGCCAGCATTTGCGGCGGGCATTTGCTCCAATGGCAGCGGAGTGGGCGCCATGTTTTTTTTTTTTTTTGCTTACAAATTCACTTTGCTTGTTGCAAAGATTAACAAGTCAACTTTGCAAACGGTTTGTTTGAGTTTTTCAAGTTTCTTCTATTAACGCCAGCAAGTCCAACGCATATTTTTTTTCATTTGTTTGCGCGAAATTTTCAATAATTTGTTAATTATTGTACACGGCTCAGATCGACATCGTTCTACACAAAATGTATCGCAATTGGCGATGGACCTCAGCAACGAATAAACGTAATCGATTTGTTTGAGATATCGATAGGTTAAGCACATGCTATTATGCCTCTGTTATCAATTGGCGCCACTTAACATCTGTTAAATTATAATTTGAAAAATTCTGCTTTGAAAAACACTTCATAAAAATGCATGTAAAAATTAAATAATTTTTTAAATTAAACTTGGTAGTCGAAAATAGCGACTATTCATGACAATGTATTACGACCCCAATGATGAGCGACCATATATGTACTTCGTTAAATTACCTTTAATCGAGCAGAAGTTTGCCATAGGATGTAAGAGCCTTCGTTCAGCAACTGTCGGCTATATAGTCGATTTGGGTAAGCTACAATATAATAAATTACATAATAAATAGTATCTAATTATATATATGCATACATTAATAGCGAAAGATGTGGCCGAACGAACAAAATTTACCTATACGGAAGAGCCCACAGTCTACTGTACGGATATTGGGAAAATTATTGTTGATAACACTGCGCTAGCTTTCTGCATATCGAAAGGATATGGTTTTGAGGTTTTCAACGGGGTACAGGCGGTGTTTAAGGTGCCAAGACATGAGAGCAAGGTATTATTGAGCTTAATATTGTCAAAAGATAAGTAAATATAATGCCAATCATGCCTGTTAGATCATCCCGGCCGCCATCAACCCAGATAGTTATTATACTTAATTTTCTAAAGACATAATATTATTAACAATAACAATTTTGATTTGTCATGCATTTGTTTCTATAATTTATTGGTTGGTTAATTGTTTACAGCAACTGAGAATGTTAACTCAGGTTGCACTTGACATGTGGTTGGCGCGATCTCAAATGAAGTCGCATTTAAAAAAAAGGTGAGAATTGAAATCAGATTTTATTAGTAGTACTAAGAACAAACGCCAAAGACACAAGTTCAATGACCTAAACATCCAGTCAGATGATGATGTGGATGAGGATTATGTTTTAGCTTTTCGCTTGCTGCGGTTCAAAATAAAAGAAAACACCAACATTTCCGCTTTTGTTTCTTTGAATCTTAACACGATCGTTGATGGGAAATGTACTCAAATACTTACATATATATTTACAAATACATATGGCATTCAATCGTAACTTTAGGCTGTGTGTAGGCTGCAGGTTGCTCTGGCATATGCTGCAGATGCACATGCATTGCAAACTCTTTGCCTGACGCGTGCTACATGTTGCTTCCTACCACCACCCTCGTCCCTCAAGTTACGGCACATGCCACATGTCCGCCCGTGCTTCGCCCCGCCTAGCGCAAAGTGGCTGCCACCTATGGATTCGTTGGTCGCTTCACTTGCACTTCAAATTTAGCCGACGCGCATTTGGAGTTCAAACCCCCCTTTTCCCTCTCTCCCCTCCCTTCTCTCTCTCAACAACTCCCCCCAATTTGAATCCGCCTGTCGTGTGTTTTCAGCGGCATTAAAAATAGAACTTTATGATGTTTTTTGCCTCTTTGAAAAGGCGACCCCGACTTTTGACTGGCGCTGGAATTACAAGCATATCCGGCCAGGAGCTGGAGGCTCTCGAGAGCGACCACTTCACGTTTCAATGTTTTGAGTAATGAGTCCGTAACACAAACAATCCAATGCCATCCTGTAAACAGGACGCTGGATTTTTTTTTTATTAGGATACGAGCTAAAAAAAAGTCTAAAAACTGAGAACTGAGAGCTGAACAGCTAATTATCATATTAATTTGGCCAAAGATGCGATTTGGGGAGGGCGAGAGGCTTGGTTCCGGTGCAAACGAACTCTGAGCAATTCAATAAAGATTAACAGATAATTAATGTGGAGCCGCAAGCCGCAAGGCTTTCATTTGAAATCGATTATAAAAATAATTTACACAAAAGAGAGAAATGCGAAAATATTTCTTTTTGGTGTTGTGTTTTATTTTGTTTTAATTCGCTGCCTGTTGAATTTCACATTAAGGCGATTTCGCTTATTTATCTGCGTGTAAATAAATGGAAAAGCTGTGTGGAATTTATGGACGCATCTCGGCTGCTGCTCTGCGGCTCGCTCAACTGCACTGTTTGTTACCTACGCAAAGAACCGTTGTTCAGCCCAGCAGTTAAAAATAAAAAAAAAAAGAATCATCTCTGCACTTGCAACAATTGCGCAGCACGCAGACCCCCGACACCCGCAGGGCCACGGGGAGATTGGGAGATTGGCTGGAGAATGCAACGCAGCCAGGACCAAAAATAGATTTATGGCCTGCAAGTCGCGTCGGTTTCAGTTTCAGTTTCAAGAATCGCAGCGCTCTGGGTGATGCGCTAGCTGATTGAGCTTCACCTCCGTCTCCAACTCATACCGCTGCGCCTTCTTTGTGCCTGGTGAAATCCATGGCCAGAGTTGGAGCTACTCTCTTTTATTAATTGCTGTGATTAAAGTCGACGTGGCTGCCACAAATGTCTTTAGCACATGTCACATTGTTCTTTAGCCCCCACCTCCCTCCCTCACTCTCTATAAAGAGTACATCCCCAATACCAACCACTGTGCCACCCTACGTAGGCGCTTTGTCGCCAAAAACTCAACTGGTCTGGTCTGGCTGTGATGCATGGCACTGGCCCAACTTGACCCTACCATTCAAATTGCATTTCCATGTTGACGCCAGACAACTTACATATGTACATACATATATATACATATATATATACATTTTATCTTAATCCATGCGGATTTCTTTGTTGCCCGTATTGCGTGGGTCGAGGACACAAAAGTGTGAAAATGGCCATCAGCCATTCTGCATATGCGCATATATACATAAAAATAGTATCTTAACAAATAACAAGTATACTGTATTGCCGTAAATCATGGAATAAAATTGTCGAGTATTTGAAATTGCATGTGTACCTAAATTCCAGATTTATTGCAAATAACAAATAAATTCTTCAGTCAAATAAACAATATAAGTTTCTCGACCTACTTGCGATACGCATTCCATATTTATGTATATTCGAATTTCCCGGAAATTATCACTCACTAGACCTTGTTGACCTCCGAATATCAAACCAATAAACTGAAAACGTGTGGATATCATCTCTGGTAGTTAAATTTCCGATTACCGAATGCTTTTACTTATAGTCAATAAAGTTCTTGAATTTTAGTAGTTTTTCTATTTTTGTTAATTACTTTATGTTTTTTCTTTTAGCAGTTTGATGACACGTTTGAAGCGTGCAACTGCAACAACCAAATCCACTTAGAACGAGAAACAAAATCAAGGCGACGACAACAACAAATGTGCACAAGATATAAATCATATATAGCATTTATGATTATAAAATGCGCTAAATGTTTATACGTAAGAACCCATGTTCAACACATATATACCGAGTCGAGGAGACTCTCCCCTCTGTTCCCTCATCTCTCATCCCTCATTCATCAAGCCGGTGCGCAGACCAACAGACCAAGCAACAGCTGACAGAGCGACATTAAGTTCATTACGCTTGAAAAAGTCAAATGTTGAGAGCTGCAGCGACAACAACACCTGTGATAAATCCGTTCGCTTGTAATAGGGATGGGCCCACTTGCGAAGGGAGGCGGCGGCAGCAGGTGAGAGATTCTATTTTGAATAATTTACGGCATAAAGTACAAACGGCAAAATGCCATATTGCCCGACTGCGTCACTGCATTAGCCCCCAGTATTCGAATCCGAATCCGAATCCAACCGGCAAAGTTGCCAACCACGGCGATGCGTTGCTTCTCACTCTCTCACTCTCTCTCTCTCTCTCTCTCTCTCTCTCACTCTCTCCCTTTCTCTCTTTCGGGCGAGCAGCTCTCTTTCTCTATCTCTTGGGTAGGCTTCGAAGCGGCATGGGGCAGCAGCAGCAATAGCGATCTGTGAGGTTTTTGACACTGGCTGGCGTTCTGGCTGCCAACTTGACGCTGATGCTGCTGCTGCTGCTGCTGATGCGTTAGAAAATGCTGCGCAGTGGTCCTTGTCCCGCCAGCAGCCGCGAAAATGTGTTTTCCCTTTTCTCTACGTGCATGTGTATGTGTGTGGAAAATGTGCGCGACCCAAAGTTGCGGCATCAGCGAGAGAGAGAGAGTGAGAGAGAGAGGGAGAGAGTATTAAAAACATTATTTTCGATTTATTTTTAAACCGCACACACTTGTTCCAAATGGGGCGAACACGCTCTGCTCTCTGCTCTCTGTTCTCTTTTTCTTGTGTCTCCGAGAGACTCTGATCTCCGAGAGACGCACTCGGGCGATCCTCGTAAAACAGCTGCTAGCTGTCGGCCCAGCGACGCGTCACCTCCTCAACGGGAGCAGCGATGTAAAAACTGTAAGTGGCATGCCAAAGAAAGTTCAGTTCTTCCTGAGCTCTCGCTGCGTTCGTTTACTATAAAAAAAAAAATAAAATAAAAAAAACAGAAATAATTAGAGAGAGAACGAACGCGATCGTCGCCCCCCCTTTGTATCTCGACATCTCGACATTGCCTGCCTGCCTGATCCGTACTAGTGAGGATCGGGCCCAAAACACTTGTGCATTACGCGGTATCTCGAATTGAATCTTTGTATCACTGTATCTGTTATTGAATTCGTCTTCGTCGCTTCTGAAGAAATTCGTGAAAATCGCTTGCGAACACAACATTCTATAGGGTGGCTCGAGGTGCGGCGGAGCGTGGTGATATATTATTGATTTCACATCGACAACCAACATTCGCAGCTGAGTCATCACACACAGTGAGAGGCAACAGATTCCGTTCTCATAGGACACGCTTTGGTTAATCTACCCTCAGGGAGGGGTGGGAGGATTTGGTCTGACGGATTTATTACCCGATTCACACAACAATCGCTTCGGTTAGGGTAAGTAATCGTCAGCTTTTATACAATTAGTAGTAGTTATTGTTAAGCCGACTATACGAATTACACAATTCTTCCAAATACGAAATCATTCTAGTATCTTCGTTTATCTATAGTATATATCGAAAAAAAAAAAAAGATTCACGTAAATGCAAAAATCTTAGAGATGAGCAAAATTTTTATCGCCGACAACGACCCACAAAGAGAGATCTCGCTCACGAACCACACTTGTTAAATTAATATTATGATTTCTTTGATATTTTGACATTTACGTGAGAAATGTGTTTTCATTGGCAATGATCGGCCAAGCAGATGGATGCCACCATATGAATGCCCTACAATATATATATATATATATATATATATATATTTATATATATATGTGCATATGTCTCTCTCTCTCTATATCTCTGTCACTCTTAATGTCACTGTGTAGTTCGTTGCGTAAATAGTTGGAATATGATGATAAATATATGTTCATATGTACTATAGCTAATATTTTCTACTAGTCATGCAAAAACAAAACACTGCGTAGAACTCAATGAAAAGAAATGGAAAACAAAGTTTATAAAATTACATATCTTTTTAATAGTGCATACATTATAATAGTATAATCTCTATATAAACTGTGATTAATCTCTGGCTGCGACTAATTGGGTTATGGACAGAGGTGTGGCATCAACAGAAGCAAGAACAACCCATTCTCGCCACTGATCCTTTGTGTCCCCTTTGTTGCCTTGCCTGGCCTGACATTGTTTACACAATTTGGTAGCGTAAACAGTTCCCAAATGAGACCAGCGTTGATTGAGGAGGGCAGCTTCCTGATATAAACAATTTAACTAAAGCAAAAGCAACAACAACCAAAACAAAAACAGCAACAAGAAGATCATCAGATATAAACAAACCAAAAAGGGGGAAAGAGGCGCAGCAGCTAGGGATTGAGGAAGTCCTGTCTTGTTGGTTAACGTTGCGTGGCATTGACACTTGACCCGCACAGTAGGGGCGCCTACTTTCCCCGATTCCGACTCCGACACCCCGCCCACCGTTCCTCCGTCCGTCCGACCGATTTGTTTATTGGGCATTTGTGCATTTTTCAAGTTTGAACTAAAATGTAAACTATGCGCGTGTTTCTCCTGCACTGGCTGCGTTTTAAAAATAGTCCAACCAATCTCTCACAGCCACTGGCCACGTCGACGCCAGCCAACGCCTCCACTAACACCGACACCTCCACCACCTTCACCTCTGCCATCTCCTTCCTTGCTGGCATCAGCCATTAACATTTCTTTGCTTTGTGTACATTAACAGGACTTTGAACTTTCTTCGGGCCAGCAGCGATCGCATTTTGCGCAGATTTCTACCCGTCAATATATGTACAATATGTATGTACATATATACAAAGAGTGTTTTCATGTCCATTGTGCGTTGCACTTTGGAGAGGGTCACTCGATTTCGTATACCCAGAGCTAATGTAAGCCATCATGTCGTATATAGTATATACATATTTATTAATTTATTTCACCATTAGAACTAGGAGCTGATTTATTTAGTATAATAAATTTGAATAAATGGTAGACATCATGTCGTTCGCTTTAAGAGCTGACAAGTTACCCAAACGAATATCTTTTGCCAATATATATATATATATATATATATATATACGTAATCGTACATAAGTACATACATTTTACTCTGCTAAGATCAATTTTGAGTTCCTCTTTGTGCATTGTTCGTAAACGTTTGACCAGATGCGTTGTTTTAGTTTCACATTAAATAAGATTTTAGACTTTTTCAAATAATATATGTATATACTTTGAAAAATCTGTTGTGCTTTGTTTGCTTATTTTGTATTTATTTATGCAGTATCTTAATGCAAATGACACTTTAATTCGTTTATAATTATCTTTAAATTGGCTGTACCAAATTCGATTGGAATAAAGCAACATGTGCCACATGTTGTATGTGCCCCACTCTACGCTTCCCACTTCTGCTGTTACTCCTCGATGTAGGGGCTGCACCAATTAGCGTTTGCAGTGAATTTTCCTGCTCTTTGAGAGATGTCATATGCGATCATTACCGATCTGCTATCTGCGATCTGCGATCTGCGATCTGCGATCTTCAATCTGCACGGGCCAACAAATAATTAATTAACGGCCTGTCACAGAAACATGCGATTTTCGGACTTTTCTCTGGTCTTCTGACATCCCAAATATTGCACAGACATGTCCCTCGCTTCTGCCACAATATTTCCCACTTGTCACCTGTTACAAAGTATGTAGTTGCTCGTAGTTGCGTGTGTGTGTGTGTGTGTGTGTGTGCGTTTTGCTTCTTGGGAAAATATTTAAGAATGAGCAACAAAGTTTCAGCAGAACATCTTTGGTTAAATTATAAATAATTTTTTTGGCCGATTTTCTGTGGAACAGGTTGAACGTTGAAATGGGAAAAATTAACACACACGGACTATGCCAACCAGGTGGTTGCGGGGGGGCTATGTGGTGTGGTGAGAGGTGCTCCATTTGTTGAATACTTATAAATAAATACTTAAGTCACAAATAATGTATATACATCTGGACGTCTGGTAGTATCTATGCGCCAATTTTGCAATAGTTCGAAATACTTGCACAAACCTATATAAATATTTTCTCATCGGGGGCGCCCCACACACAAAAACAATTTTTGCCACCTGCCCGTTGCTCACATCCAGCTACAAAAGCAACAACAATTTTTATGACCACAAACATTTTGATGTACTCTTCGAATTGAATTCGTTTTGATCGTTTGCACAACTAGAAAATAATAACAAATACGAGAATTTTGCCGCCACGAAGGCGCAACAGGTTGCAATATTCTTCTTTTTTTTTGCCGAAATCTATATGGGTGGAGAGAGCGAGAGTGGGCAGAGTAGGCAGGGGTAGTCAGTTGGGGGCTACAGCCCACGCATTGCGCATTGCTGATCTCAGGCCTCAGCCGACCAAACAAACGGAAAAACGAAAAACGGCAACCGCACTACAAGAAAATGAAAATAAACAAAGCCATCGCGCACATGACCTCCTCAACGCGAACATGCCCCACAGCACCCTTAAATCCATCTCTCTCCCTCTCCCCTCCCGACCCTCCACACACATTGCGGCCGATTTTGTGGCAATAAAAATAAATCGATTGTTTAGAGTATTACTAAGAATAATGGGAAAACGTTCAGCAACGTTCAGTTATTTTATTGCCTGGAAAAATTTAATAGCTCATCTGCAAATATTGTTCAAAAAAAAAAATGTTGTGAATAGGCTACAAAAAAGAAACCATCTCCTAAATCCAATGATTAAATTGCTTAGCAAGTATTAATTAAAAATTTAAATTAGTCTGAAATAGTTTTTAAAATTAAACAACATTTCGTATTCCTCTTAAATGTTAAAAAGAAAAATACTGAGAAAAGTAAAAACAAAACTTGTGTGAATTTCCTTAAGAATTGGGACCCAAGCAGAACTAATACAAATGTTGAGAGGTTGACAGTGTTAAGCGTCTCATATGCTTATTTAATAGCAAATTTTGTCTTAAGTATTTTCAAGAATCTAAAATTTGTATTTGACAATTGTAAAGTTAGCTTCTCGTAGAAACGATTAAGCAGAGATATGGAAACATAATTTTGTAGGTCTGTGATAGATGGAATACAAAATAAATAAATAAATAAATATAAAATATATAGGTAAAATGAGGAGCGTTATATGACGAGCCACCTGCTTGCCCGTCTGCCTGCCAGTCTGAATGTCTACGGTTGTGAATATAGATGGGGCGGATTGGGTTTGTCAGGGGTGGCAATTACGTGCGATATTAATCAATGCCAAGACAACATGCACAAATTATGCGCAGCTCGACGTGAATTTATTTCTTTGAATCGCGAATAGCAGCAGCCAACAAGTGCGATTGCGATTGCGATTTCGATTGCAATTGCAATTGCAAATGCGAATGCCGGTGCGATGCCTGCTGACGTTAATCATACGCCCCGTGTGGCAGCAACCGAGTTGCAGGTAACCTCAAGCACAAACGGCAAGGTGACGACAATGATGCAGACGACTTTGGCTCTGCTTGCCTGGCCTCTTGGCTCGTCCTTAATTATAAATTGATGAATATTCACATAAATAAATATGAATTATGCCGGTAGCACAACGAAAGCCAAATACTCTAACCGATCTGTGTTATTCAGCCCGAGTGTTAGACTCAATATGCCCAACGAATTATAGCAGCCATAGCTCATCAAAGAATGTTTTAGTTATGTCTGCGACTTGACAAAAACAAAATCAACAACAAATATATATTTATAATGTTGAATTCTGAATTTATTTCGATTTCTGTTTCGTGGCTAATTTTTGTGGTCTGTCATCGTTGGTAATAATGACGCATGTGGTGCGCATTTAGCAGGTTGCCTCACCATTCTTTCCCATACGTCACACACAGAGATTCTCATTGTTGATGTCGCTATGTATTTGATTCCTATTCATTTGCAGACGACATGACGAAGGATCAGCAGGTGACGCCCATACCTGAGGAGCTGTACAATCTCACCCAGCTGGCGAACGTGACACTGGCGGCAGGACCGCTTACCACACCAGCCAAGTCTAGTCCCATTTCTGCCAACAACAATAACTTCTATGCCTCATCGGATGATGACTCCACTTACAACTCGTACAGCCACAAGGTGTTCGATCGCAGGAAACTGCGTCGCTGCACCATTTCCGATTCCAATTCCTGTGCCAGCAGCACCACCAGCAACAGCAGCAGCAGTCGCCACTCCAGCGAGCAATCACCTCCTGCCCAGGACAACAGTAGCCTAACAATGCTGGACGATGAGCACATTTGTCCCGAGTGCGGCAAGAAGTATTCCACCTCCTCAAATCTGGCGCGCCATAGACAAACCCACAGGTGAGACTCTCCCACCATAGTGGCTTCGTCGAAATAGCCAATTCGAAGCCAATATTATTGACTCTTAATGTACTTAACCTCGTTTCATTTTGTAGGTCAATTATGGACAAGAAGGCGCGTCACTGTCCGTATTGTGAGAAGGTGTACGTCTCGATGCCAGCGTTCTCGATGCATGTGCGTACGCACAACCAGGGCTGTGAGTGCAATGTCTGTGGCAAGTGCTTCTCGCGTCCCTGGCTGCTCCAGGGCCATATACGCACCCATACCGGCGAGAAACCGTTCAAGTGCAGCGTCTGCAACAAAGCCTTCGCCGACAAGTCCAATCTTCGTGCCCACATTCAGACGCACTCGAACACGAAGCCGCACACGTGTGCCCGCTGTGGCAAGGCCTTTGCCCTCAAGTCGTATCTGTACAAGCACGAGGAGTCCTCATGCATGAAGAATCGCAACAACAGCAGCAACAACAGCAGCAGCAGCAGCAGTAGCAGTAGCAACGAGACAACCACAGTGCAGCAGCAGCATCAACCCGAACTGGATGCAATGACTGCAACAACAACAGCAACAACAACACCATCAGCTGGTCAATCCTTGCCAGATTCGGCCAAATTAACGCTGGCGCACAAGTTGCTGCAGAAGGAGAAGGATCGCAGGCAGGCGCAGGCTGTAGCTCAAGCTCAGGCACAGGTTGCTCTGGCTTATGGCTATCCTGGGCATGGTGGACACGCATCTCGACTAGGCAATCTGGAGCATTATGATAGCTACAAGCGCAATGGCATTATTCAGCCCACTGTGCTGCAGCATCCCAGTGCACTGTATCAGGAGCATATGCTGCCACTACCGCTGCCGCTGCCACTGCCCCTGCCCATGGCCTATCCGCAGCACCAACAGCAGCAGCAGCAGGATCAAGAGCAACCCGTGGACTTTTCGCCCAAGAACAATTTTACGCACTCGGCCAAGACGAGTCCGTTCGAGCTGACTGGCAATTATGCAACAATGGTCGCCTAGCCACGCCCCCTAGGCAGACGCCCAGTCTGACTGTAAAAGACAACTGAGAGACAGATTTAGAATTTGAAATGCCAAAAACAACAAGAAAACGATCCCAAAAAAAGAAAGAAAGAAAGAGAGAAAAAAACACAAAGGAGATAAAAAAGAAAACCCATTTTGCATTCGATTTTAGGAGCTTACTGTAGTAAACAAATATGTGATAAATATGAAAAAGAGCAAAAGTACCGTTAGAGAGTAGTCGATTCCAAAAATGCAAAAGATCAAAAAGCGCTAACACAGAACTTAATAACAAAAATATTACTCACACACACAGAGACATACACAGACATAAATGCATACATATAATCGATCTTCATTTTAGTTGTAACGAGGATTTAGAGACTTGCAAAAACATATAACCAGTATTTTCTTAGCACTACTTAAACCACATTATATACATGCATGCATACACACATACGATATATATATATATATATATATATTTATACATATTTATATATATATATATGTGCCACATACGGATACCATTTATATACACCATATGATTAACATAAATGTTAATTGTGAATTTTGTCAACGATGACCTTCACTGATTTTAGAATTTACACACATACACATATACATACACATACATATACATATACATATACATATACATATACATATACATATACATATACATATACATATACATATATATACATTTATTATTTTGCCATATATTTACTTACCAATTACGTTAAATACGATTTAAAATTCTTTTGTTTTAAGGCATTGTGATTTCCTGCATCTGCACGGAAGTCCAACGAGCGAATCTCTAGTCTTGTATCTTTAACATGCAGCATGTCGGGTCGCTTCTCTCCCTGCCCTGCTCCTTCCACCCACACATAGAGAGTGGGTGGGTGGGGGATGTGGGTGGTCGGGCTCCCGCACATGTGTCGCATTATTTTAGGCACTTTACGGCCGCACGTCGTGCAATAATAATTGACATAACTATATCACTAATTAGCATCTACACACACACACACACACAGAAACTTATATATATATATATATATTTTATATATTTGGTATAATTTTCTATTATTTTTATACATTTTTGTGTAGTACATGCATAGATTATGTATTTCTCTTATATTAGCTCTTTGAATTATTACTTGTATTGTTTGATTTCAATTTAATTTTGATTTTGATTTTGATTTCGATTTTGTTTCTGTTTCATTTTGCGTTGTTGTAGAAACTCACTGCATTTTGTATACTCAACAGAACCTACAGCTAAACAGACCAAAGATATTGAATATTGTATATTGTATACATATATTTATAGCGAGTACATTATGTATTATAGAAACGCACATTTATTCAAATTAAACGAGTGATCCAACGATCCCTGAAATTGAGAAATACCAATTTGGTTTTTGTTCTATTTTATTCCTTTTCAGAATTCTGATGGAGAAATGGGAAAATTACATTTTTTCTATGTGAGTATATGCAGGTAATTTTATTTTATTGCATTTTTTTACAAAATTAAGCCAAAAGATAAATGGAAAAATAAATTCGAAACGAATACAAGGAATACCAGTTTCGGCCTTCAGGCGTTCTCCATTTTGCGGCAGCTGGACGCGCTTTTCGACAGTTGATACTGTCGATGCAGGAGGCACAATGAGGCAATGGGATTAAAATGAACATCTTTAGATACAAATTCAAATGGAAACTAACTAGATGCATACCTTAAGATTTGGGCCAACAACATCGCCCACACCGGATTCAAGGGATGATCTCTTAGAGCCGCCACAGCGTACGATGAGGTCCTCGTAGGGTTTATTGTGCAGCAGGCAGACGAGTATGACGGTCATATTGTCGCCGCCAAGACCATAGTTGTAGGCATCGGGCGCCAAGCAGTAGGTCATCAGATGCTCACAGATCAGATCCGGCTGTATCCCGGCTGCGATGCGTTCGCGCACAAACTCCATCACCTGGTTGCTGCTCATCACATCCCAGATGCCATCGCAGGCCAGCAGCACAAACTCCCAATTCTCAGTAATGTCACACACCTGAACATCCGGATCGGCGGTAACAATTTGCTCCTCCGGCTTCTTATTCTGGTTGCGTTTATACATGAAATCGCCCAGGGCACGTGACAGCGCCAGATTGCCATTGACGCGATTGTGCTCCACATAACCGCCAGCGGCAATAATACGCCGCACTTCAGACTCATTGCTGGGCTTGTGGTCAAAGGAGAGGGCTCGTACTATGCCCCCAATGCAGGCAATGGCTCGAGAGTCTCCCGCATTGGCGGAAAAGAGTTGCTGCTCCTTGATCAGGACCACAATGGCCGTGGAGCCGGCCATCTTTTCGCTCCAGGTGCCGTTGTGCTCCATCTCACTATCGAAGTCGAGAAAGGCCCGTTTCAAGGCCAGCTCCACGCTACCACAAAAGTATTCGGGCCGCTTTGTGATGAACTTGTGCAAGTGCTTGCCAGCAAACTTTGCCACCGCTGCACCACCGTGTCCATCATAGACCCCAAAGAAGGCGGTGCCATGATCATCGGGCAGCGATAGAATATGAGTGTGTGAATCCTCCATTTCGACGCGCCAGCCCTGCATGCAACTACTACCCACGAGGAACGAGGCATTCATGGAACGTGCCGTATCCTTGGTGGTCACCGGTTCCGACAAGCTTTGCCCCATAATCCGCTTCTTTCCAGTTCACGTACCAGGATTATATTAACATATATTTTTCTATTTATTAAGATAATGTTTATTTGTCGTTTCTATCAGTAAACTAAAGTTGACTTGGAATTTTGTAGACTGAACCAACATTGTCTACTATTATAGATTTCCGTATTAGAGTCTTACAGTTGATAATATTTTTTTGAAAAACAATAATAATAATGTGTTGGCAAAACCCAAAAACAACTGGACAAAATTAAAACAATTGAAAACAAAGAAGTTTTCTTTTAATGGATGAAAATCCACTTTTCTTTTGGTTCAGTTTGTCGAAATTATTTCAATTTGAAATTGGGAATAGAGGTTAAAACATGATGAAAGAAAAGGTTTTTGAAATCACTTTTGACAAAGTTATGCCTTCAGAAACATGGAAATCGAGACAGACTTGCGTGTCCAAATTTGAAAGTTTTTTAAACTCAGATCACTTCTGAAAAGATAGTTCACCCTATGTTAAAAAAAGATAAAGTTAGATAAAAGATAATAGAAAAATATGATTCCCCAAGGTCAGCCATCGGTTCCCTTCAATTTGTAAAAAGAAAACAGTTGATTTATCATTTGATAATTTTTGTTTTTTTGTTTGTATTTGGTTTTTGTTTTTATGGTTTTTTCTTTTTTGTTTTCTTTTTAATCTTTGTATTTCATATTCTCCATATACATAATATATATATAGACATTTATTTGTAATGTTTACTTGACGTAGATTACTACACGTTTATCCTTTTAGGCATATGTACGAGTATGTATCATAATTTGTATGTAAACGTATTTATATCCGTATCCGTAACTGTGTATCTGTGAGTGTATATGTATCTGTTGCCACAAGTGTGTCTGTGTGTCTGTGTGTGTGTGTGTGAGTGATGCTTATACGAATATTGGCGCCATAGCCAACTACATTCAATTATACTTAGTTAAGTTTTTTCTTGTATATACTCTTTAAAGTGTAAAGACACTAAATTTCACAATTTTCGTTTGTTTTTGTTTTTTGCTTTTTGCATTTTTGTTCTTTTTTCTTTCTTATTTTTTTGTTGTTGTTGTTGTTGCTCTCTACACGCTACAAAAAACACTCCCGGCTAACTAGAGTAGAGTGCCGATTGGAGGGGAGGGGTTCATCATGCCAGAGTTTATCGAAAACCGGAGAAAGCCAGAGAGAGATATTGAGAAAGAGACACACATAGAGAAAGATATTAAGAGAAATCGAGTTTAAGTTTTGGGGCTGTCCCACAGGACTCTTTGTTTCCAGAGTATCCACTGCATTCTACAGGCTACAAAATATGCAGTTTCTATGGGCAATACGTCATGTGTAAGTGTGTGTGTGTGTGTGTGTGTATGTGTGTGTTGAGTACATGTATTTATGTAAATAATTTACGAAAAGTGTACGGTTTATATCGTAAGTAGTATGTATATCATTAGTATATGTATTATAAAATCTCTAAACAGCCATAAAAGTCAAAAGTTCTTAATCAATATTATCAATTATCTAAACGCGTTTAGGTTTTATCATTTATGTAATGCCTTCTTATCTTCTACACTCCTAGAAGTTGCATGTAACGTGTATCTGTGTGTGTTTTTTTTTTTTTTGTTTTATTTTACTTTGAAATCGGAACTCGATTGTTATAGGTTTTTACTTCTGGGAATTATACATATAAATACAAATTTGCGGCTCATTGTGTTACAATTGGTTTGGTCTTGAGACGGTGTACATACGTATGGCCCTCCCCCCTTCCAATACACTCGTCTAAGAGTTAAGGGGTGGGCATCCTTGTTGTAGTGTATTCTATATTCGATTCACAATTTTATGCTGACTTTGCAAATAACATTGAATTAATTGCCTAAAAAGGTACGCAAATCTGGATAATCTATATATATATATATATATATATATATATATATATGTATGGATATAACTCGTTAGTTAATATATACACATATATATATGTTTGTTGAATAATTTTCAGATTTCGCTTATCATATACACATATATATATATATATTCATATTCCATATTCATGCTAAATGTATCGGTGTGCTTGGTTTTTGATATAAGTATTTCCGTTTGAACGCTTACATTAAGACTCTCATTTGTTTACAAAAAGGACACCAAGTAAAAACATTCAGTACACATCGATAGTTACAAAAAAGTGTTAGTTTTAAGATTTGTTTTTGTTTTGTTTTTGTTTCATTTTTTTTTTTTTGGTTAGGTGAGTCGGCACACAAAAACTAGATCGCTTTAATTGCCTTATCCAATATATGTTATATGATTAGCAGGCGGGCGATCCAACAAATTAGTAAAAGGATCCACATCCGCATCGTTGGTGATCGAAATAATTGTATATATAATTTAACTTTGCAATTGGCTTACGCGGGGGGGAAAGGCCCAGGGAATGTACAGGTTCAATATTTATATTTTTTTCTTAAATCCCGATTTGCCCGGCAATTCGTTGTCTAACCCATGCACTTATCTAATCTAAAAAATCGCTTTACTCCGTCTCTAATTTACATTTTAAATCGCACACTTAATAATCTGAGGTACATGCTATAAAAAGGAGAAGTTCTTTGTAAATACCGTACACATTCATATATATTTATATATATGTATAATTATCGAGTATGAATAAAACTTGGTGCCCATAAAGAAATCATCATGTCCTCTAATCCTATGTAGTATATACTATATATATATATATATATATATTGTATATACTTATGTGCGCGCTTTGATTATCGTTCTTTGGTTTAAACTTGTTGTTTTTCTTGTTGCTGTTTTTGTTGTAATACATATAATATGCCTTCTAGAGGATATCAGCATATATCCTTAACTACGGTCTCTATTGGCTATTTGTTATCGATTTTAGTTTGCATATAAAAATATTTAAATTCTTCATTTTGAAACGGCGCAAGATGATACTAATGCTAAAAATACACCCATACACACACACATAAATATACATATGCATATGTATGTATATATATACATATATATATATATGTATGTATTTGTGTGATTTATCTCTAGTACATATCTAGTACATACTGTATACATACATATAAAAAGCAAATCCCATTAAAGTGCCATCATCTATTTGCATTTGTTACTGGCTATTAAATATATATATATTTATATATATATTAATGTATATTTTAAAACATATTGTTTCGATTACGGTTTGCATCACCCATCACACTAAATACAAGAGATTTTAATGCATATATATGTGTATATACTATATATTTAATATACTTTAGTTTTTAGTTGTTATACTATTTTCCCATTTAAATCAGCAAAAAGGTACGATTCAATTTGTTAGACGCTTTTTTAAATTCAATATCCGTTCAATATCTGTATCTTAGTTAGACTCGTGAGAATGCGTATGATTTCAGCTCTAGCTGCTAGTTAATTACCATATACATACTTATCATATGTCTATATCATATATATATATATAGATCTCATTATAACGTATATGGTTTGTTTTTCGTTATCGTTTCAATCTGATTTTTTTTTCTTTCTTTTTGTTTTGGTTTTAGGTAGGAAATATACTAGTCTTATAAATTTCACACATCAACATTTTTTTCTTTTGGTTATGTTTATTCTTTCGAAATATTTCGTATTTAATAAAATATAGTGTATATATGTTTTTAATTTTTAATTCTTTTTTTGTTTTTTGGGTTTAGTTTTAATATGTATTTGTATTTTGCATTGTGTGTGTAAGTGTATGTGTGTGTATATGTATGTATATATGTAAATATATCGTACTTAGTTTTTGTCAATTATTTTTAAAACACCTAATATCAATTAAATGTGTTTTTTTTTCTGCTAGTTTGAATGAAATTGAGATTTATTCTATTCATACAAATATTGATTCAAGTCAAAGAAACACGAAGAGAGTGTGTATATAACTATGATATAATCTAATAGAGTTTATTCCGCCGACAATTACTATTATATATATATATATATACTATGTGTGTCACTATTTATATGTAGAGCCGAATTTCGAATCGAATTTTAAATTTGTGATTCGATTCCTCATATGTTGTTGTTGTTGTTGTTCTCGTTATTTGTTTCTTAAAAGAACAAAATCTAATAATGGACGGGTTCTTATCAATCTTGTGTGTCAGCGTTTGTCAAATTTTCTAATCGCTTTCGATCCATTCAATCAATTTTTTTTTTAATAATACAACCATCCAAATCCGTGAATATTTGTTCGTCTGGTTCGGTTGGTTTTTGTTTTTTGTTTTTTCAAAACTGTATGTTGTTGGTTTTAAAACACTAGCTACTGGTACTATTATTATTAAATTTAATACGTGGCAAGCACTATATATACTTAATAAATAATTATTGGTATTCGTTTTTGTTGTTGTTGTTGTTGTGGTTATCTTCTGCTTGTTTTTGTTTGTCTTGATAAATGCACATAACTTGCGTATGAAACACATTCCAAAGCGACAAATTATTTATAAAAGCTCATTAAGTGTTCGTCTTTGAGAATTTGGTCAACCAACTTAGATCCAACATACATATATACATGCTGTATACACTGTAGTTATGGGATAGAAGTATTCTTTCATTTTTTGAAATTATTAACAATCTATTGGCAACTACAGAAACCTGATTACCCATTAAACTAAACATTAAGTGTAAGGTTTTCTTTTTTTTAGCTGCAGCCAGAGGGCCTCAATAGGTAAAAGTAAACTCTATCCCTAAACAAGTTTGCGATCCATCCGTTTCTAATGAGCTAACACATAAACTAAAAGGTAATGCTAATTATCAGATATATATATATGTATATGTATATACACATAGATTGCACAATTAGTGATAAATACATACATACGTAAGTAGCTATTAATTATTAATTGTTGTTGTTTTTTCCCCTTTATTTTGTGTATAGCTATTCAATTATTTAAAATTAATTTGGTGGGATATATGTTGTATTTGTTGTTGTTCTTCTTGATTTTGTTAAAACTTGTATTTTGATTAGCTTGTTCACATTTTAACTAGTTGCTAAAAGAAAAGGAAATACAAATCGAAGAAACCAAAAAAGTAAAGAACACAAAGAGCTATGCTTTCGATAATAATATATATATATATGTATTTGTATGGTTTGCATTTAGGACATAAGTAAATATTATAATCATTTATGATAATAGTAAGTTATGTAGGTATATGCATGTTGTTGTGGCTATGTTTAAATGGTATACAATATAAAAAATTATGCGTGTGTGTGTGTGTGTGTATCAGTGTGTAAAATACAATTCAAAAGTCACAAAGTAAAAGTTAAACAAATTTATAAGATATGATAAGAAAATAAAGACAAATCAACTATATTATTAATCATTGAAGTACATTGAAATATTGTACGTAATAAACACCGATCGATCATATATATTAAGTATAGATATAGATATCTATATATATATATATATTTATAGTACATATAGTATTTGAAGTTCGTTTGTAAATTAATTTCAAGGCTACACAGTTAAAACATTGTTATTTTAAAATGTACTTCTCTTACAATACAAAACGATTTATGCATATATATATTTATATGTCTATGTCTGATTCTGTGTGTGTGTATGTGTCTGTGTATCTGTTTAGTTAGTGAGTGTTATTAATATATATATATACATAAATATATATATTAATTTTTGATGTTTTTGTTTTTGTTGTTGTTTAAGTCTATTAACGTTTCGTTTTTGTTACATTTAAAGCGTTCTTGATTTATCTGGTTGCTTCTCTAAAAACATTGAGTAGAAATTGAAAAGTTTATTATCTTTTAACTTGTTCAGTTTTAATAATATTTTAGTTAATTACTAATATATATATATGTGTATGTGATTTATATATATATATACATATATGTATATATTAAAAGAAAGGAAAACAATTAAATAAACAAGTTGCAAGCACTTTTCGCTTCTACACACAAACATCAAACGCTTAGGTTAGAAAGACTTGTTTTCTTTGTTTATCGCTTTGATACAACAAATTGTTATTCTTCTTCTTGTTCTTGTTGTGGTTGTTGTAGTTTCCTTTATTAATGGTCCATAAAATTTCTTTAATGCCGTTAAGCTTAATTACTCGACTTTGATCTCTAAGAAGAAAAAACCAACAACAAAAACTATTTAAAAATGAAAAACACAAAAGGCAAGCGAAATTTCGCTTTTGACTTGAATTCACTTGCCACACAATAGTTAGCTGTTAGCTGTTCTTGTTCCTCTTGTTGTTGTTGTGATTTAAAACACAAAATATATATATATATATACATACATATACATATATAAATATGTGATCAACCATCATTCATAAATCCATACCCATCACGATCTCCTACATAGCTAGATCTCTAGTCTACGGATCCCTTATCGCGTATATATATGTTTGTTTGTTTGTTTGTTTGTAAGTATGTACGATTAATCGTTATAGTCACAACACTAACGTTTCTTAATTCACGCCTAAAGTTGCTAATTAAACGTTCCATTAGTTTCTACTACAAAAATGTTGATATTTCAAGTTGTTTTTTTTTTTTTTTTGGAGAAATGAAAACCGTTCAGAATAAAAATTAAATATTTTCTTTCTTATTTTGCCTTTTTGCTTAGTCATTTGTTTGTTTTGCGTACTAAATAGTTAACATATATAATTTTTAAGATTAATATTATTATTATTATTATTATTAGTTGTATTCATAAGCCGCATTGCTAAACGGTACTGATTAAACATAGAATTAATTAGTAATTTGTAATTTGTTTGCGTTTGTTAATTTCATTTACTGGCTAAATTACGACAAGGACAAAAATTCCGACGACAATTTCAATTTGTGTTTTGCATCGATTTTTAAAAACTACATCACAATAATTATATGCTAGACTTTCAAATAGATCTTGTTGCATTTCATGTTGCAATATATATATATACATATATATATATATATATATAGAATTATAGATGTATGTATAATTTGTTTGTTGTTTTGTTACAATTATTTAGTGCACAGCTGATTAATTATCATATATTCATGCGTTATTTTCGAATCATAAGTTTCGATTTTTTAACTCTATCAATAATTACAATAATGATAATAATAATAATAAGACGAATTCTCTGTTCACCATTTAAACTGGTACATTAAAACGTGTGTGTGTGTGTGTGTATGTGAGTATAGTTTGTGTGTGTGTGTGTGGATTGTTGTTGGGTTAAACACGTATGTATTTCTTTTAGTATCATAATAGGAAGTGCCCACAGTTCTAAACACTACAAAAAAATGTTCACAAAAAAGAAAAAAAAGAAGGAATAGCGACAAAGTTACAGCTAACTACAAAATACGTTAAGAAACCTAATTAACAAGAACATTATTTAATATGTATTTAGGTAGATAGTAGTATATATCATGTATCATATGTGTATATAGTATGTGTAGCATAAGGTTTATAGCATATAGTTAGCAACGGTTTCATACAATTCCCAAAACCGTCCTTTTTATAGTACAATACATACACACTAAGTTAGAAAAGTATCGAAGTGGTTTATAAGAACGAAAATCTCTGCGTTTGATTACAAGACAAAAAAAAACCAATAAAACAGAAAAATATTGATTAAATACGCGCACACACAGCATAAAAATACAAATAGAAATAGAAATAGAAATACAGCTAAATTAGAAATTAGAAATGTGTTAAAAGCCTATAACTCTTTTCAATTATTGCTAGATTGCTTGCCTTTTTGTACTTTAGTGAACATTCCCTCAAATGGTTTATTTTCGTTTCTCTCTCAGTTATTCTACTCAATATCCTTTTGAAAATTCATATGAAACCCTTAGTAAACAAGACAAGGACTTAAACGCAGAGTCTGTTATGCATGGAAGAGAAGAGAACTAAACACAAATACAAAGAATCTTATCGTTTTAGAGGAGGAGTAAATAATGAACATGCTACACGGACTAAAATCGAAGCGATGTTAATAAGTATATGACGCAATATATATATATATATATATATATGTATATATATATAATTTGCTTGTTGGTGTCTTATACCACAACTGACCTGATATCTAATCTTGATTTTAAAATCCATTATTAATAGTTAGTTATCGCTAAATACAATGCATCTAATTTTTGTTATATTCTTTTGTACAAATCCCCAGAAGTATTATAATTCCTCTGTTTGTGGGTCAACTTATTTTGTAAGTTCTATGAGAGTGGGCTTTTTATGTTTGTATATGTTGTGTATATTGTTGTGTATATTGTTGTTAAAAACGAAAAAAAATCTGTATAATTCTATGTTTATTAGCTACAATATATCGCATGTTCAGTTATCAGTTATATTCAGATATCGCTAGGGTTTCCTACAATATTGTTAATATATGTTCTGCTTTGTTTGCTAGTAAGGTTTTTGCGGTATTATATATCATTTTGTAGTTTATGATTATCTCACTAATTTGTTTTTTTTTTTTGTGTTTTTTTGTATACACTATTTTATTTTAATGTTTTTTTTTTTTGTTATTTATTTATTTTGTTGTTTGTAAAAGGCAATTTTGCATAACATTATTTTGTTTGTTTGTTGCTGCTGCTGTGGCTGCTTCGTGGTGTTTTTGTTGTTGCATATTTTGTTTTTCGTTTTTTTTTTTTACTTTTTTCTCTTGAGGTACTTGCTAAAAAGAGTCTAAAAAAAAGTTGCTATAACTTTTGCACTACGTTTTTTTTTTGCGGTTGCTGCTGCTGCTTTTGTTATTGGTGTTGTTTTGTTGTTGCTGTTGTTGTTGTTGTTGTGTACAATAACATGTTGCATTAAGTTTGTAATTTTTGCATTATTTGTTTGTTTGTTGTATATATAATAATAGTAGTATTCATAGTATTAGAGTTAGTTAGGTTAAGTTTTACATATGTATTATGCATGTAGTACTTAGGCGTATCGTAATATAGAATACATATTTATCATAGTTATGTGTGTATCTGCATATATATATATATATATATATATATATATATATATATATATACGTATGTACTTAGAATTTCTAATAAAAAATATACAACACACATTTAATGAAACGCTTTAGTTTTTGAGTAAACTTCAAAATTTGTATATAGAAAGTGTTGCGCCTATTTTGTTGTTGTTGTTTTTATCTTAGCAAAGTCTGTATTTGTAAGTGTGTGTGTTTTGTGTGTGTGTTCATTACTTATGTGTATATAAAATTAAGCACTTTACACTTCAAGCTGCGTGTACAAAATGCTTTACATTTTTCTTAAAAAAAAAAAAAACAAACAAAATTCATAATTCAGAAGTGAATTATGAAACAATCGACAATCTCTTTGAGGATTGACGTTATTAAAAAAATTGCAGTTTGTGGGTGGGGACAGGGGGCGGACGAGTTATCAACGTTTGCGGCGACTTTTAATGTTGTTGCTGCATTTCACATTTGTGTTGCTTGTTGTTGTTGGTTCTGTTGTTGTTGTTGTTGCTGCTGCTGTTGTTGTTGTTGTTGCTGAATCGTGCAAAATGCTGCTGTTATGCTGTATAATGCTTTGTTGCATGAGCATCATAAACCACCAGCATTGCGTTAGCTGCAACTGCTGCAAATCCTGATCCTCCGCATTGATGTTGTTGTTGTTGTTGCTGCTGCTGTTGCCGTTAAGCTTATTGTTGTTGCTGCTGCTGCTGTTTGGAGTGTTGCCGCCATCAGCCGAGGCCATTAAAGATCTAAATTGTGTTGCAAACAAAAGGGATTTGAATTAATAATTATGTTCTTTAGCTGCAAATAAATTAAGTTTTCAAATTGTCGCCTTTTGCAATTTGCTTTTAGGCCATCAATCTGGGATTATCGACTCACTCGAGCATCAATCAATCATCAATCAATCAAGTTCGAGGCTGTGTGGACAGAGAGAGTGGTGATTGGTGGTGGTTATAATATGGTGGGGCTGTGGTGTTGTTGCTGTATAGTCAGTGATGGTGGTGGTGGTGGTGGTGGTCAGTTGGTGGCCTCTGGCAATCGTCAATCCTCGTCAACCCTCGTTCAACCCTCTGCAAGCTACTCAGCACCATACCATATGTTGGCGGGCGCAAAGTGCGCCGCATGCTTGCTGGCAGCTACCTGGGCGGGACTCAACGGTCCAAATTGGCTATACTGCGTCGGTATCTGTATGTGTGCCGGCAGCGGATGCGATGGTATCACCTTTCAAATTAGACGAAAGATTGTTAAAAATTTTAATGAGAGGAATTACTAATTAATTACTTTTAATTATCAAAGTAACTACTAATAGTTAAAAGCTAAATGATCGATAGTAATTAGAGCTTTAATAATTACTGATAACTTTTTGGTAATTGAATAACAAATAAAATTGTAATTAAAAACTAAATGAAAGATTATAATTATAACTTTAATAAATACTCTCTTTACTAATTACTCTCAATGGGCAATTTGGTAATTGAATAAGAAATATAATTATAATTAAAGGCAGTTCAACTACAGAAGGCTTGTACAATTGAAAATCAAATGGAAATAGTGCCTAGCACCCACCTGGCGACTGGAGCTGTTGTGTGCTGGCGGCGGTGCAACCACCGCTCGGTTCGCATAGGCATACGTCGGCGCCGCCTGGGACACATAGACCGTGGGACGGCGATACATGTCGCCCTGGGCGTAGATATCCGTTTGCAGCATGGCCGCAGCCGCTGTCGATGAGGGTGAGCCGCCCAGCGGCGTGCCCGCCTGATGATGATGATGATGACTGTGGCTGTGGCTGCTGTGATGATGATGCGGCGGCGGTGCAACCGCTGATGGTGCCACAGCCGCAATCGTTGCCGGTGGCGGCTGCGATGGCTGGCGATACACTTGCGGTGCACCCCACGATGGTGGACCCACGCTGGCGGCAGCAGCAGCAGCTGCCGCTGCAGCGGCCGCAGCACTAATCGATGACGACGCGGAGCTCGAGCCGCTCTTCGAGTGGGCGAGTGGTGGCGCCACAGCCGGTGCCACATAGCTAACGGGCGCCACAGAGGGTGCCTCCCGCTTGGGATGTGCTAGTGGCATTGCCGAAACACTGCCCGAACTGGCTGCCCACGAGCTGCGCTTCGTTTCCAATTGTAACTGTTGTTGCTGTTGTTGTTGCGGCGGCGGCGGCTGCTGTGCGTATTCCGGATAGAACTCGGGTGGTTCCTGCTTAGTGGGTATATGCGGCAAACTGACGACGGGCGGTGGCGGTGGCTGCTGCTGTTGCTGTACTTGTATCTGCACCTGCTGTGGCTGCGGCTGATAGTTGCACTCGCTTTGGGCCATGGCCAAAATGCGCTTCTTTTGCGATTGACCCGGTTCATATTTAATATTTGGCTGCGGTTGTTGTTGTTGTTGTTGTTGTTGTTGTTGTTGTTGCTGCTGCTGCTGCTGCTGCTGCTGCTGCTGCTGTTGTTGCTGCTGCTGTTGTTGCTGCTGTTGTTGGAGCTGCGGCTGGGGTTGTGGTTGGGGCTGTGGCTGATAGTGCGGCGTCTGCTGGGCTGGCTGCACCTGCTGATGATGTGCATGCGGATGATGATGATGATGCTTGGGACTTCCACCGCTGGACACAACAGAGAGGGCGGCCGCGGCGGCGGCATGATGGCGTCGTCGTGCATCCTCCGGATCGTGATCACCTACGGTAACGCATGGAATTACTAGATGGACGTGTTGTTGCGTTGGCTTATGACGACTGAGATGCGACTGAGTTGTGGACGGGGGTGGCAAGGGCAGCGGTAAGGGCAAGGGCAGGGGCAGTGGCGCTGGGGCAGAGACGGGGACGGGAACGGGCAGAGAGACAGGTGGCTGAGTGAGACAGGCGGATGAGGATGAGAGGGAGATGGGTGTGCTAAATTGTGTGCTTGTTGTGCTGGATATGGAATGGGGGGCGTTGTTAAGCTGAAGACTATGATGGTTATGGTGATGTGGTTGTTGTTGTTGTTGGTTGGAAGTGGAAGCAGAATTGGAATTGGTGTTGTGATGACTGTGATTGTTGTTGTTGTTGCTTGGCTGAAAGCAATGCTGTTGCTGTTGCTGCTGCTGGTGCTGTTGTTGCTGCTGCTGCTGCTGCTGTTGCTGATGTTGCTGTTGTGGCTGCAGCGAGCAGTTGTTGTCGAGGACGACAGCAGCACCAAATCCATTTCCACTTCCGCTTCCGCCCATCGACGACGACGACGACGACGATAGAGACGCTGTATGATGATGATGATGATTATTGCTACTGTTACTGCTACTGCTACTGCTACTGTGGTTTGGCGGCGGCGGCGGCAACTGCTGACTGCTACTGTTACTGTTAATGTTACTGTTATTGTTACTGTTACTGTTATTATTACTGCTACTGTTGCTGTTGCCGTTGCTGCTGCTGCTGCTGCTGCTGTTGTTGCTGCTGCTGCCATGATGGTGCTGATTTTGCTGTTGTTGTTGTTGGCTGTGGTTGTGGTTATGGTGGTGGTGGTGACTATGGTGACTATGGTGACTATGATGGCTATGATGACTAGCTCCGCTGCCGCCCAGCTGGCTGCTACATTTGCTGGCCAAACGATTACTGCTGCCGCTGCTGGCATTGGCGGAGGAGGAGCTGATGGACATGGAACTGTGAGCATTACCATAATTAACCGCCTGCTGCTGTTGCTGCTGCTGCTGCTGTTGCTGAGTGTGCGACACATGCAACGGTTGTGCACTGCTGCGACAATGTAACGAACTGGATGAATTGCTGCTCGAGTGTTGTTGCTGCTGCTGCTGCTGTTGTGGATGATGATGTTGCTGTTGTTGCTGTTGCTGCTGTTGTTGCTGTGGATGTTGTTGCTGCTGCTGCTGCTGCTGCTGTTGATGTTGATGCTGTTGCATCAGGCTGCTGCTCGTCTGCGACTGGGCATGAGCATGGGCTCGCTGCTTGATCGGCGCCACAGCATTTGCTGCTACTGCTGTTGCCGGTGGTCCATCGGCGCCTTCGTCCTCACTGTCCGATATGGTAATGACATCACCCACAACTGCCGTCGGCGAGGGCGTGTCATGGATGGTGATCGTCGGCTGCTTCACATGCGGCTGCTGGTGTGCATGCAACGGCGGCTGGCTGTTGGCATGATAACCCACTGCGGCGCCACCACCGCTACAATTGTTGACCACAATGTGATGGCCAACAATGTTGTAGGGACCGCCACTGCTGCTGCTGCTGCTGCCACCGTGCGGGGCATGTGCCACGGGCGCATGATTATGATGCGAACTCGATGAGCTGCTGCTACTCGCATTGATAATATCTAAAGGAAGACAATAAAAGGATTAATATCATAGCTATTCGAATTGGGTAACAAGCCGAGTTCAACTCACTGTTGGATGCGGATGAGGCCGAACTGGCCACAACGGGACCAGCATTGACGGCGCCATAGCCACCGCCATAGTTGCAATTGTGATGGGCATGATACTGTGGCGAGACATGAGCGGCACGCTGATAGCGCTGCTGATGCGGCGGCGAACTCTCCTTGACGCGCTTCTTAACCGGCGACAACTGCTGGTGTTCCTTCTTCTCGTGACGCGGCACACGATAAGAGTTGCCCTTGCTATTGTTAAGCATACAAATAATTAATTAAACTAACATTAATTAAAACATTAAAAGATTAATTTGTGTAGTACGCACGCTAAATGATGAGCCGGCGACTCCTTCTTGAGATCGTTGCGCGGCAAGTTGAGATGATGCTTGGGATAGATCTCCTCCACATTGAACAGCGGCGTTGAGTCAACAATTAGCGAATGCGCCGGCGCCTGTTGTGGCCACGATGGCACCAGAGCCATTTGTCGTCCGGTTTGGGGCCAGGCAACGCCACTGGCCTGCACACGATTGGTGAGCAACATGCGCTGACCCGAACTGGGCTCCACCATCGAGACGGGCACAGGCACATTAACATACTGCTGTGGCGGCACCTGCAGCGGCGGCTGCATTGTGGCACTGCCCACAACAACATGCTTGGTGGGACTGGGCATCGCCTGATACGATGGCGGACAGAGTATGTTCGACACCAGCTGGTGCTGGAACGTATCGGTGCGCGCCTGCGGATATTGCCGGGCCACATTGCGACCACCATAGATCTGGTAGAGGCCCTCATAGGCCAGGGGGCGGCCATCGCGCACCAAACGCTGCACCTGACTGGTCAGCTGATTGTTGATGGTGAAGGTCATGTTCTCGGTGCTGCTCGGCACAAAGTTAGTGACCAGCGTCGGTGCTGGTTGTACACTGCAACAAAAAGAATCATTAAATAAAAAAATATATATTCAAAAATGTACTGATCAACTCACGTGTGGAAGTCGCCGCGACGACACACCTCCATCATTTGGACAGAGGCCTTCACATTGTTGCAATACACATAATCAACCAGATGGGTGAGCCTCGTGAAGCTGTGATTCAGTGCCTCCGTTGGGGTTAAGCGTCGCTCCTGATCAATGGTTAGCATACGCTTGAGCAGATCAATGAATTCCCGTCGATCCGTCTTCTCGGCCAGCAGTTGACCACCCTCCAGATCCGTTGGCACATTCACCTGCCCAATATCATCCAGACAATTGAATATATATTTGCGTGCCTCCTTGCTCTTTGTGTTCGTCTCCGCCTCGTGCTCCTCTGTGGTCTTCAGACGCCAGAACGGATACGTGGAGTCCACATCACGATAAAAGAACTTGGACGTCTTCGAGGCGCTATTCAACATATGCTCCGTGGGCAGACCCTGTGTTTGCGATATATACCGTATCTGATCGAACTCCGAGCTGCCCGGATACAGTGGCCAGCCGAGAAAGAGTTCGGCGACCACACAGCCCAGCGACCACATATCGATGGCCTCACAGAAGGGCAGACCCAAGATGATTTCGGGTGCGCGATAATAGCGCGATTGCAGATACGTATTGCAGACGGTTTTGCTCACATGAGAGGCGCTGCCAAAATCGATGACCTTAACGCGATACGGCTGACGCACCGGATCGACCAGCATTATGTTCTCCGGCTTCAAATCGGCGTGAATCAGGCCCAGTTGTTTCAGCTTCAACAGGGCAGTCAGCACCTGCAAACGAACAACGACAAGGAGAATTAGAGATTAGAGCTTCTGGAGATTCAATCTCTCATTTGATATTCATACCTGCTCCAGAATGGGACGTATATATTTTAGAGGCAGCGGTGAGAATTTGTTCTGCTTGAGAAAATCATAGAGATTCTGTTCGAGCATCTCAAAGACGAGGCAGGTGTGATTCTTGTGCTGAAAGCATTCGAATGCACGCACAAAATTAAACTCGTCCGCATTCTCCTGACTCAGACGCGACAATATGGACACCTCGATCTGACCCTGTCGCGCATACGATGGATGATTCTTCAGTATCTTAATGGCAACAATTTCGGAGGTGCCGCGCTTCCAACACTTGACCACCTGGCCAAAGGTGCCGCGACCCAAAAACTCCAGAACCTAAACGAGATCGAAGCGTATTAGATTAATCCAGACCAATGAATTCTGGTATACTTGCCTCATATTCAGCTGAGAGGGAATAGAGCACCTCGTGCTGGACCAATTGATAGTCACCATCGGCGCCGCTGCTGGACCGTTTGCTGGGGGGTTGCGTATTTGCATGCCCCCCCGATGTGGCGACCTTTGCGTGCGCCGTCTTGAGGCTGCTGCTGTTCACTACGTTTTGGATGGCTGCCACTTCCTGCGCCTGGCCGTGCCGCACCTCAACGCTGCTGCTGCCGCCGCCTCCGCTGCTGCCGTTGTACGTGTCCACGCAGCCGCAATCGCAATCTGCACAAAATAACGATAACAAAATGTTGCTTACTTTTGGTTGCAAGTCAATCAAAAACAAAAACTTTTACCTCGCCTGAGTAAACGCCTAATTACTAAGGATATCATTTGGTGACTTATCAAGAAGATATAAATATATATTTGTATTTGTAAATATAATTCTCCTGAGGCAACTGTGCTCAGCACAGCTCAACAGGCAATTTTACAATGCACAGTTTGCGCTGCAATCGGACAAAGTCAGATATAGCATATGAAAGATACATATAGATATAGATATAGATGTATATATAGATATCAACACTCAGCGTTGAACTTGTCAACACGCTGACAAAGAAAGTGGCGACAAAAATGGCGAGTCACATTTTGGCCAATTCAAACACAAAAGCACAGAGCAAATGGCAACATTTGTATAATTACAAAACAAATATTATGGCTAAGATTAAGACGACAACGACAACAACAACAGCAACAAACAAAGAAGAATGCAATTGCAATAAGGAAAAGGAAAAGGAGGCACTGTCAACAACAACAATTATTACCTCGGAAGATGTAGTACCATTGTTGCAGGTGTACAAAAGTCATCTTGGTTTGCTTCAGGTACGAATCGTTAAATATCTTTCAATGTATACATCATATATACTCAGATATATATATATAACTCGAAATATTAAAAGCGCCAGCTTTGTTTGTTGCGTATAAGCACATTTTTCAATATTAGATCAAATTTTTGGGCATACATTCAGAGCCTGCTAAGATATTATTCCTAGATTCATTTCAAAATGGAAATCCTCAAAGGGAAGACAGATTTAAAAAAGTTGTGATTCCATATTCTAGTTAAAGAAGAAAACTTTAAGGACTCTTTAAATACAATACAAAATTGTTACCTAAGAGACATCCTTTTACAAAATATCCTTAGGCGTGGGGCCTTTAAGCATTTCGTTGGAATCTACCCTTTCATTATTTATATATTTAGCATGTCTTTTATGATTTTATTTTTACACGGCAAACCGAATTCCACTCATAAAAATCCCACTCAAATATGTTAAGTATATAATGGTCAAAGGACATTGCTTATAAATTGCCCAATTTGCGAGAAGAATACCCGAAGGTAAAAAAGGACTAAACACTGTGTGCTAAACACAAACAATTTAACTCAGATATAGCATTTCATTTGCATTCGCCTTTATTTCATTGTCCATAATTGTCGCATTGTGGCGCAGCCAGCAGAGTTCACTTTGTAATCGGCAACTAAATTTAGAACTGGTTAAGTGGGCTCTGCCCCACAACAGTCCTCACCCCTCCCCCCCTGCCCCGCCCACACGCAAGTCTATTATATTATTTAATTAATTTGCGTCAGAGGACATTCGATACGAATTGACTTAACAAGAAAACAACGACTTTCTTGGGCACAACGAATAGTAAATACCCTTTCAGAACGATACAGAATGATCTAGTGCTTTGATGTTGATGATACGATGTCCAAATGGGGTAGGAGCATAACTGTTGAGTGATTTTTAAGATATCTTAATCGTATAAGAACTCATCTTTCGACCGATTCACAATTTCAGCAAGGATATAGCTAGATCAACTCGTATAAGGATGCTAATCCATAATATAAATATATTCTTCTCGGATCGGGAAAGTCTACTTAAAAGGTTCACCAACTTAAGGACAAAGTCGTAATACCCTCTTGCCAGGGACTGCAAAAATAGCTCAAGAGGAAGCCGGATGCCAAACATACAATAAATGGAGGAGAACACGGAAAATAATAAAAAGAGCAAAAAGGAAAGAGAAAAGGGAAAGTAATAATAAAATAGTAGTCAAGAGGCAGAGAAAAACCCACGCACACTTCGGGAAATTGTATGGCAACGGCAACTGAAGGTCGCCCCACCCCGTGGGGGTAGGAGGGGGGAGCGGAGGGGTGCTGGGTTTACGGGGAAAGAGCCGCGTTAGCTGGACATAAACTCTTGGTTCGCTTGATTCGCTGCTCGACTGTAATCAAAACTGAATTTAAGGACACACGCGACGCCAATGTCCGTCGTCGCTTGGGGGACACTTTAGTCGCGAATGGGAACGGGGAGGGGAAGCGGTAGGGGTAGGGGGTGGTAGTGCATAAATAGACGACATTTGGTTTTTGTGTGTCGGAAAATTTATGGCAGCGCTGAATGAAAACTAAATGCAATAAATTATGCAAAAACCCGATGAGAGAAAACGCACAAATCGAAAAGTCAAATTGAAATTGAAATCGAACAATTGACAAATGAACAACCAGCAGAAGCGCGACTAACAGATTCCCTGTACTGTGCAAATATAAATGGAAGTCATCTAATCTTACTAAAACGAAAAACAAACAGCTTTATTCAAAAAAATGTTTGTTGTGCTTCGATATTTATCGATAGTTATCAAAAATGTTAAGGACAACTGGCAAAATAAAATCGCTTGTCAATGCAAAGTTATTATTGTCGGATATTGAAAATATCTCCGTTTTGAAATGACAGTTTTGCTATCGAGAATTTGATCTGAACTTAAAAAACTATATTTACTTAATATATTTGGATACTCTACATGTGTCGTCTGTATATCAATAATGATATATTAATCGAAAATCATAATCAAACTGCATCTGCCTGGGACGAACTCTAATCTTTAATTAACTTATATATAAATTTATATCCTTCAACTTTCCTTCTTACCGTTACAAGCTGCATCTAGCAATAATATTCCTTTCGTTTTATGAATACTTAAGGGATACATATAAGAAGACAAACCGAATAAGCTACCAAGGTCAAACGTCGGACAATCGTTGAAATTGAGTCACCAAAAACACCCACACAAACACACACATACACACACACACATACATACACCACCCACCCATCCACCTGTTTACCTTATGGACTCGTCGCTAGTGCGTTAACTGCCAACGCCTGCCTCAGGGGCAAGTCAATGGCAAAAACAGCAGCAACAACGACTTTGGCAATGGCAAGGACTTTTCCATAACACATTGCGTTCACGTGGCGCCATCACGTTGCAGGGAGAGGCCCGCACTTGCAACGCACCACCATACACCACACACAAATTTGTTTGTTGCAACAAGTTACGAGATTTAACGGTTCGACAGCAATTTACATTTTACATACATCTACTATTCATTTGTTTGTTACGTTGCACAATCCAAAAACGAATTCGCTTACGCAAATCTCAGCAGCAGCAGCAGCAACAGTCTCTCGCATTCAACGTCAAAGTTGCAACGTGACGCAGGTTGGCAAAACGAATTGAAGCTTTTTTTTTGCCCCACTCACTCTCGACTGCTTGTTGCATAAAAGGCGAGCCAACCAACTGTAAAGGTGCAAACGGAATAGTTGTGTGTGGGTGGCAGTGGGGGCACTATGCGATTTTGTGTGGCTGTGGTTTGGGAGGGCGGTGGGTGGCGACTTCCTACGTATTGGTTGGTATAAAAATTCAAACAGAAGTAACTGTATTTGCTGCTGACGCAAAAAAACCGGGGAAAAGAACAAATGCGTCGCCTTGGTGGCAAATGAATGGCCATGGTTCTGCCACGGGTTATTGGAACTGCTCTAACTCCACAAGCAACAGTTACTTATGGGTTTTCACCCAAGGTTGATATATTCTTGCGAATAATATATAAATAAATCACACATATTGTGTTTTTTTCACAAAAAGATATCAAATTTTGATAGAGAGCCCATTAAAGCACTCAAAAGTGTCGAGTTCGATGAATAAAAAACTATTATAAAAAACCAGAAATCTTTGTTTTTTTCCACTTCCTGTGGAAGTTTTAAGATATAGAATAAAAGAGCTTTTGACAGCTTCATAGAATAACGATCTTAATAATATTCTATATAAAACACTCTCAACTGTCAAGTTTTATTGCGATATCTTGGATATGAATGAAATTGTTCATACAAGTAAATGCTCGAACGCTATATGATATATAGGTTATCTGATAAGTCTTCCGACTCATCCCACATCCCACAGATCTTTCTACATACCGTCTTTAATATTAACCAACACAAGAAAGCTACCAACACCAACTGTCCTTGAAAGATAGACATACATGTTGCACGACTCATTCCCATCTCCACACAAGCGATATCTTTACTGTCTCATACAACTTGAACTCGTGTATTTCAGAACATCACATACCAAGTGCCAAAGTTCAACTTATCTTGGCCTTGGGCATTATCGGTTAATATTCTTGCTTTGTTGGGGGTCACATTCAATGTCTCAATACTGAGAACTGAGAGTTCATCATCGTATTGCAACAGCAAAAGTGCACAATTAGATAGCAGCTCGAATAACAACAGCTGCAATTAAAATCATTTCTATATATACATATACATGTATATTACGCATATTGCAACAGTAGTCGCCACGTGCCACGTCAGTTATAAAATATTGATAAAGGGGTCGTATAGCCATTAATTATTTACAGTGAATTATTTAGATAAGGCTGCAAGTAAATTAGAATCGTTTAGTTTGTGAGGAGAAAGTTGGCCCACAACTTTCCAAACAAAATGTGTGAATACCAATTGATGTTGCATGTTGCAGCGATTGGTGAAAACAGCAACGGAAGTGTGAGGGAAGTGCACAAAAGTGTACAAAAGAGTGCTGCTTGCTGCCTTAAAGAAACGCGATAAATTATTATTTGAAACGCGAGTCGCTAAACGGAAGCGGAAAGATTATGGAGACGCTTCAAGAGATACGCGCAACAAAATAAGAAAGAAATATAATGTGCAGAAAGAAGCAACAGGTTAAATATATATAATTATATATATATATATATATATATATATATATATATGGTAGATGTAGATAATGTGAACGACGCGGCGACTAGCGACTGATTAATGGGCGCAAACAATAAAACAAGACAAGGGAGCGATAAAAATCGGGGGCAAAACCATGTACAAGGAATGTTGTCATGACAGATCAAAGAGGGGGTGGGGGGAGGTGGCGAGCACGGTATATGTTGCCTGTTGGAGTTGTGCAAATATTTGTCGCAACACAATGAGAGCAATGCACGCAAAAGCATTTTCCACTTGACTCCACGCACCTGACGACAACAACAACAACAACAACAAAAACAACAAGTTCCAGTGTGTGAGAGAGAGCGCAACAATGTTGCTACATATTTGTGTGCTTTTGTTGCCAGTGCATACAAAGTAAACGAGAGCGCGCCAGCCGCCGTCGTTCTCCAAAAATGGCAGAACAACGGGAGAAAGTTTAGCGAATGTGCTGGCAACGCTACTGCAACCAGACAGCAATAATTGGGCGAATTCAAGTTGTTGCTACATGTGCCTTTGGCGGAATTATGTGCTGTGCTCCTCTTATATTAAGTGTGTGTGTGTGTGACAGAGACAAATGAACATTTCAACTGCATACTTAACACTGGACGCAAGCGCAGCAGCATCATTTGCATAACACACAAAAACATCCACAACATCAGCAGAAGCAGCAGCAATAACTCATGCTTTGTCCGCTGCACACTTCAGCGAGCAGAACATTTAGCTAAAAAAAATATTGCGAAAAAAAAGGCCAAATAAAAACTGGCACACATACAAAATGGCAGCCTGGCAACACGCAGCAGCAGCAACATGTTGGACGTTGCAAAAATGTCGCCAAATGCCTTTCTAAAAAAAAAAGACAAAGTAAAATGCCTTTTATGTACTTTCACGACAGCAAAAAGTAAAAAATGAATACATACAACCAAATAAATTAAAACCAGCTCAAACTTGAAAAATCAAAAAGGCGATTAAATGACGACAACAACAACAAGAAACAACCGCAACAAGTCAGCAATATAGTAGAAGCCAAATAAAAGCTGAAAGGAGAAGAAGGAGAGAGACTGCAGCAGCAGTAGCAAAATGTTATCGATATCGATATCCAAAATCAAACATGTAGCGAGAGAGAGCGCACACGCTTTTGGCAACATGTTGCTGAACAACATTTGCATATTTTTTTTCTTTTTTTATTGCATTGCAATCGGAAATTAACTTTACGCATTTTGCACACTTAGCCGGATGGGAAAATACAATGTGTAAATAAAAAATAGAAAAAAGGCGAAATGCTAAAAATGCATCTAATTTTATTTTCTTTTATAATCGTATATAATGTGGATATTGTTGTTGTTTTTGTGTTTATTTGTGTAATTGCATTGCACACTTGATTGCACGCAGCGCCAGCGACTACAAATGACGCCAATAAACTTATGCCTGGCAAAATAGCAGCAGCAGCAGCAGCAACAACAACAACAACAATACATAATCTCTCTCCCCCTCGCTATCTAACTCTCACTCTTTCATTTTTTTTTTAACTTGTGACGATTAAATTGTTATATTGTTCGTACATTGTTGGGATTGTGATTGTGTGTGAGGAGTGCATTAACAGCAGCTGTGCTGCGACAATAACAAAATAACAGAATCAATTGCAAATTAAATGCAAAACGAACGAATGATCGAGAAACAACACGAAGCAGCCAAAAACAAGCAACAAGCAAGAAAAATTCATTTATTTCAAGAGCTGCTATTGCAGCTTTTTCGATACTTTATCGGTTGTTTTTTGTTTTTGTTTTGTTTTTGGCGAAATGGATTTTCACTTATACAGCAAAAGAAATACAAAAGCGATTTAAATTTAAATTTGCGTGGATTTACGCCAGCATGATTTTTAAAAAGAGTTTCTTTCGACAAGTAGCAAGCAACAAAGGCAGCGCTGCAATAAAACGTAAATGAGGCAAAAGCACACAATAATACACATACACATACACATACACATACACATACACACTCACACAACACACACAGCACTTGAGCATGTGGAACGCATGCAAGAAATGTGGGAGGTTTTTCAAACGACATATTTCTTCCTCTTCGTCGTCGTCTTCTGCTTGTGGACTATGTATGTTTGTATGTATGTGAAAGCTTCGCCAACAATCGCTGGCTTTTGATGCACCGCCGCCGCCGCTGCTGCCTTTGCTGCTGCTTGTCTAATGTCGCCGCGACGCGCTCATTTATTTTTGATCTTGTTTTCTTTTTCGGTGAATTTTTTCTTTTTCGTTTAAATGTTGCATGCAGTTGACAAGACGACAGCGCGACAGTCACAAAAAAAATAAACATCAAGGGAAATCTTTCCACTTGCATTGCAGATTTTTCGCTAATGCTTGGTGAAAGTTTTTATGTATCTACATATATACAAGCATATATCATCTATCTAACAAAATTCATTTTTAACTAATGACTATAAGCCGTATAATTATTCAATATATGCACAAACATATGTAAGTTTATGTATTTTTTGTCTATTTTATAGTTTAAACATTTGCGATTCGATTCTGAAGTGAACAACAAATGTTGACGTACGACGCCAGCAGCGCTGCCCGCTTGGAGGTCGACGCCGACGGTCCACGGACGTTCAGTCTGCTCACCTAGCAGAACTAGCTGTTGTTAGAAGCAGCCAGCAGTACAAAGCAAACTTAGCATTGGAAGTCAGTGTTGCTAATGAAGCTTTTTTTGCTCCCTTAATTCTAGCTTGGTTTGCTCTGACTATTTCTTGTCTACTATAATATGTACAATTTATACCAAAAACTAAGCAGCAGTTTTAAAATAATAAAAAACAAACAGATGTCATGTTATTTTAGCTGCAGCTTTCGCCTTCAAATCTTTTAATGGTTTTTACTTGTACCCCACGTCTAAAACTAGCTTGTTTTTTTTTCTTAGTTATTCAAAAGTGGGGGCAACACTATTGGTGGTGACGTTGAGAACGAGAACAACAACAATAGCAGCCGCAGCAGCGACGACGGCAACGGCGACGGCGGCAATTTAGACGACGTCCTTCAAGCGAGCGTTAGAAGTGACGGCGGCGACGTCAGCTGCAATGACCTAAAGTAACCCACCAATGGGAAGGCGAACGCGGCGAGTATTGCACAATGTACACGACAAGGCGAAAAGCAGAGAGGTGTGTGGAGAACAGGAGAGACGAGACGAGGTGAGGCAAGCAATAGCGAGGCGTGGAGAGTCACAGAACCGGCAAAGAGCAACGGAAATGGGCGAGTGGCTTCTGCACATGTATTTTTGTGCATATGCATAAGTACATACATACAAACGTATGTTTGCATGTATGCCGCGTATGTGTGATGTACTTGATGTATGCATTTTGAGTGTGGGCGTGGCATATGGCGTGTCAGTTGACGGCGCAGCAGTTTGGCAGCTGCATAAAAAAAGCTAAAAACTAAAACCGTCAAAACACAACCAATATGACGTAAAGGATGAGCAGAGAGAGTGGAAGAGAGAGGAGAGAGGCGCAAACAAACAAATATGTATAACAATGGAGAAGAGAACGCTACAAACAGTGCTCGACTAAAAGTTACCCAGTAAGCAAATTTCTATTTGCGCTCTCAAAATAAGTTTTTTTTTTACTGATAACTATACTCCTGAAGCCCATTTCTAAGGGGTAAAACACACAGTTATATCTAGAATATGCAACATATTCGACTTGACAGCACTCACTTGCCACCCCCTCACTCTCGCTGTCTCCCATTTGCCACTCCCTTTTTACAGCTGCAACTCCTGTATAAGCCCAGAGTCGTTGCATGCATGATATTTTTATAACTGACATCTCTATTTTGCTTTTGTTTATGTTGTTCGTTGTTGTTGTTGCAGGCGACCGAACAACTTCAATTGAGGTCAACACTTTGCGAACGTCTCAGACTGCCACTGATAGTTAATGCCACCAGGGAGAACATCAGGGGTGGGGGGAGGGGTTACTGTCCAACCGTCCGAGTCGCAAGCAGATAGCAGCAGCAGCAGCTGGAAGTCGTCACTCAATAGGCACTGGAAAGGGGGGGAGGGACAGCAGGCAGTGCGACAAGTTTAACAAGTCAGTCCAGAACTGGAACAACCAGAGCAACATCATCAACAACAACAACATTCTGACGTACATCGAGAGCAAAAACAAATAAATAAAATCAACTGTATAAATGATCTACAGTTTGTTGCGGCTTAAATACTCTTTCAGAACTTTACAACACTTAAGTCAACACAACTACAGTTGTAATTGCATTTATTCGCCGATTTGCTCAAAAAATATCGATAAATTGCAACGATCTTGCTCAAAATGGTAAACAGCTTGCCTATCGGTTCAGTTATCTGAGCTTTTGTATAACAGAACAGTATCTTATTTTAGTTTCTTTTGTTCACTCTTTCTTTCTTCGGACATATGTAACTATCATCTTTAATCTGGCCCTTTATACGGTTATCTATTGAGAATTCGTTGATTAGAACCTTTCTTGCTCTTTAAGCATAGATAGTTCGTTTAACATACACACACACACACGCACGCATAATCAACACCATTCCCAACAGACCCAAACAAAGCGAAGGAACTAGAAAAACAAAATCCCATGGAAAAACCCAATGGAAATATCAACAACAACAACAAGAATATCAACAACAAAAACAGCTCGATTAGTGAATGATTCGAGGCGAGTTTCCAACGTAATTTAAATGCAAATAAAACGTATCAAAGCCAAAATGGAAAGCGAAGCTTGTGAGCGGATGCCGGGCAGGGAGGAGCGATGTGGGGTGGCTAACACAGGGCAACAAGCAAGGCAAGGCAACAGGCAAGGATGAGGGGGGGCGGGTAGCGGTGAGCGAGAGGCGTGGGGGAAAGCGTGTCAATTTGATTGGTCAAAATGCAGGGCACTAAAACCGAGAAATGAAAAGCGCAAGCAACAAACAGAGAAAGGAGAGGGAGCAGAAAGCGAGAGAGAGAGGAGAGAAAGGGGAGCTGAGGACTGAAATGAAATCGCAAATTGCATTTCAAGCGTTTTAAAAAAAGAGTGGGAAAAAACAGCTAAAGCATAACAATAATAGTAATAATAATAATAATGGTAGCAACAATAACAACAAATAAACAAGTTTTTTTAAGATTATTGATTCGCATTCGCATTCCATTGATTTGCTGCTGTCTGTTTTTGTTGTTGTTGTTGCTGTTGCTATTGATGTTGTTGTTGTTGCTGTTGCTATTGATGTTGTTGTTTTTCCTGTTGTTGTTGTTGTTGCTGTCTATCTTGTTGCAATTGAAAAATGACCCAACAAGGCGAATTGGACTTTGTAAACCGCCCCCTTCTGGCACCCTCCTCTATAACAGTGCAGAGCTGGCAACACGTTCATAACTCAATTTGATGTATTTTGATGCGAATCGACGCAATTTGTTTGAGCTGCATGAAAATACACATGAAATATTTATCATGCTTTGCATTTATTATTAAAAATGCTGCAAAATTGTACTGTGAGTTGTGTCAAAGCAACTTCGAACCCATAAAGTACATATAAATAAAGATTAATAACCCACGCTAAAATTTTAAATAGTTTATTTTATTATATTGAAATTTTAAATTTGTATTTAAGAGCTAAACAATAACTAAACTACAACTAGTTTTCTTTTCTTTGTCAATGATTGTACTGGAAAAACCCATTACACAAAATCTTTCCATTCCATGTCTGGAAATTTCTGTGGCCTGGAATGAAATCATTTGAAGATCCTTATCAGTTATGCATGTCCTGCTGTTATATTGTGTGTGGTGGTGTTGTCCGTGCTCGTGTTTGTTTATTTGTACCCCAACTGACTAACTGACTGTGTGAGTGCAACGACATTAGCGTCTGCCTCCCCTCTTTGCTTCGCTTCTTCACTCTTCTTTCCGCCCCACAACCCATTCCCCCTTCTGCTGCTAGCAGCGGCTTCTAAGCACACTCATCGCTTTGGTTCCCACTGTGTAAATGAACGAAATTTGTGTCGTGTAGAGTGCTTTTGACAACAACAACAACAACAAACAAACAAGCAAAACAGGCAACAAAAAAACAACAACTACAAACTTAGACAACGTTGCATTTTGCATGACTGCGGTGAGGTTTTAATACCGTGTAAAATAAACAAGTTTAACGGGTATGCTGCATAGAAATTTTGATTTAAGCTTTCTTAAAATACACTCTTACAAAAGTATAAATCGCAAAATCTTGTAACCTCAGCAGTCGATCATACTGTTTAGTATCATGTACAGGGTATATTCGAGTGTTGCACACACTTTGTCAATTTTGCAATACACTTTACCGTTTCTTTTTTTTTTTTTGCTGGCTTTTGCCATTTTGGTTGGCCACAAATATTTGCAATGCATAAATGCAATTTTCGGCTTAACATTTAAAGTGCTTAGCGCAGAAGAAAAGTGGGAGGATGGAGGAGGAGGCGAAAGGTGTCAAAAAAGGGTAGGCAAAACAGGGAAGGGTTTGGTTTGCTGTCTGGCGATAAGAAAAATGGAAGAAAAAAATATGTGAATGCATGGGGTAATTTAATTCACAGAAATAAACACAATATTTTTGCATTTGATGGGTATATTTTATAGCTTGGTTGGGTATTTCAGTTTGCACAACAAATATGCAGCACTTGAATTGAAGACGAATAGAAATAGATAAGTAAGAAAGAAAGCAGGCAAAAAACAGCTAAATTTCGATATGAACAAATAAGGTATTTTGTAGAATTTCACTTTGCAAGCATGCAAAACAGTTGGAAAATATAAAAACGTAGCGTTACTCCTAATTTTACATATATTATTTGCTAATGTAGTGCATTACATCTTCGTCTTCTTCTTTTAATTGCTATCAATATTTGATTTTGTTGTCTGAGTGCGTTGATAAGCAGCAGTTACTGCTGTGAAAGCTGACACAGCTGTCAATTAAAATTGCAATGCTCAACGAGCTTGTGTTGATAAGATTGTGGAGGGGCGGATTAACTGTGTATATAGAGTGATGGGGGGCGTGGCAGCATCTGTTTCCGTACGACATTATCAGGCAATAACATATACAATATGTGCTAGCTATTAAAGAGGTTAATGAGGCTGCCATAATCTAGCAAGCCATATATAAATATATAGAACACTCGTACGATTTCTAGAATGTAGAATTTGCCACACTGTGCAGCACAGTTGCAAGTCGCTTGCTGCTGCTGTTGTATTATTCAGTTTGTTGCTGCCTCTTTAATAAATATGGATCGATACAATTGAGGCGTGTGTTGTTTGCCTCGGCTTGTTGGGGGCGTGGCTGATTCGCCTTTAAAATTTATAAGTGCAGAATATTCAAATGCGACCCATTTGGCAATATTCCCATTTACCCAATTTAGCCAACTAATACCCATGCTCGAGCAACTGTTTCTTTTCTTGCGATTTAATGATTAGTTTTGTTTGCATGACTTTTACACAATGAAACCGAAATGTGTTAATAAACGTACAATAAACACAAAACAGTGTTTCATTTCAGTCAACAACAGCTACAGGAATTAAATTCGCAACAGCAACAATAAAGTCAACAGCAACAAAAACAACACATTACTTTTTATGAGCCGCAAAAACGCCAACAAAGTTCAGTGACCCCCAAGGAAAAGTTCTAAAAGTTACCAAGTGGGTAGAGGTTGTGCAGAGGGAAGAGGAAAGTTGTTTGGGGCAGCGCCACCTGTGCTTCGCTTCCTGTCAGTCGGAGGGGGTGGTCATAAATGGGTAAAATAGTTTAACGGAAATGAAAGCTGCAAGTTTCCGAGCTTGTGGCAAAAAAAACATATAAGAAAAATTCAATTAAGTAATTTTGACGAATGCCAAATACCCTAAATACATATATATATATATATATATATATTTATATATATATATCTTTGTTTTAAAATTCTAAATCCCTTCAAATTTAATTTATACATTTTTTTAATATTGACTTTGTATACACTCAGTTTGTTTAGCTGATCCTGTATATATATAAAACTGTATATACCCTCCGTATACCCTGCATAAATCACAAGGCTTATAACCTAATAAAAACACCCTCAGTGTAGCGAAAACTTACGAAATTCGTATGAATATATTTGCAACTGACACGAAATAAGAATGACTGAATAAAGGACTGCAAGGGGATGGGTAAATATTGGTAACAGGCAACTACTGTGGGTTATCGAGTGGCCAGCTATAAAAGGAAGAAAAATCAGAAAAAAAAGAGGTAGTAAAATTGCTCATAAATTAAATAAAAATAAAAAACAAAAATTGTTAAACTAGCACACAACACGAGTTGCGGGCCAAAAACTTTATGAATAGTTCACTCTCTTTCTCTCTCGCTATTAAAGAAGAGCTAAAAGCAAAGAAGACAACAAAAAGAAGTACTGGAAGATGGAGAAGCAGCAGCTACAGGGATGTAGTTGTGGGCAGAATACTAAAAAAGCAAACATTTTGGCTGCTGACCACACAAAAGCTAGTCAAAACAAAACATTGAAAAGCTGTCAAGGACATAAAAAGCGAGCAAGAGACTGAGAGAGAGGGAGGATAACAAAATCATTAGAAAACAAGTTTTTATACCCTAGATTAGAGATTGAATCAAAATCGATTGACTAAAATTGAATTAGGTTGTAAAAAAAATAAAATAAAAAAAGAATTACGGCTTTATTTCCACAGCTTAACCAAATTGGCAGCAAGTCTGTTTAAAGAGCAGCTGATAAATGTTAAAGGCTAAACAGTTAGATGACGACGTCATCGCTGAAGCAGGGGGTATGGGTATGTGGGAGGCAGCATTTTGCCAATGACTAATCGCAACTATAAATGTAAAACAAAATTGAGCGCAAAATAAAAAAAAAAATACAAAAGCAAATCGCTGCAGCAGCATTTGAAGTGGGCAGCGTCGACTGCGAGAAACAAACAAACAACAAGAAGCGAATAACAAACCAAACAAAAACAAGATGAGTCAGAAACAGAGGCATAAGAAAAAGATGAAGAAAAGCAGATGATAATAATGATGAAAAGAGAGCAGAGCAGCTTAGCAAAGTGCTTTAAGCGGAAGCTCAAGGAAAGAAAGGGGCTGGGGTGGGGTGAACGAAGGCAATAGAACAAAACCCAGACGCTATTGTGAGTAGTGAAAGGAAGAGGAAGACAAAAAATGAGAGAGAGAGGGTGAATATCGTCAAGTGGACAGCTACGCTGCT